AGGCTAAGTTGTTAGAAGAAATGGACAAAGAATTTGGAGTAGGAGCATTAATTGAAGAAGAATTTAATATGAAAAAAAAAGCAGAAAAGGTTTTTGATTTGATTATTGAAATATGAATTTTTGTAGTTTGAAAAATAATAAATATTAAAAGTTTTTTCTTTTTGTAAGAATTATGGCTCAAAGGATTTGAAAGGCCTTGTTGTTGGTCATTCTCAAGAAAAATTTGAGGAAGGACAAAATATAATTCTTACTTTAAAAGACAAAGGTAACACAATAAAGATTAAATTTTTTAAATTAGTGTAAGTAAACAATGATATTTCAAGTATTAGTAATATTTTACAAATTTCCATTTCTGTGATTTTAATTGTAAGATGGATTACAACTTTCTGTGGTGCTTGAAACACGAAGAAAATAATCAGATGATAAGGCCAATTAACTATCAGGCTAGAATTTGGCTAGTTAATTTACAGATATTATGTAATTTAGACTTACGCTACCATCTTGTATGAAATTTAATACTTATAATAATTATTGAGTTGAATTAAATAATACAAATTATTCTGAAAGAAAATACCAATTTGAAGTGAAACTCAAACCATATAGCTTCTGCTTAATATGCAAATGTATTGCCAGTTACCCACCCTGTATCTTCAATCATTCTTAATTTCTAGACTAATTAATTGATGAATTAATTAATCATACAGATCATTCACCATGGCAACTGGGCATGACTTTGTATCCATATCCCTCCATAGCTCTAACCCAGTAGTGAATCTGATCTTATCATTTAATCAGTGTAATAACATAATTGAATAGAATACTTACAGCTTGGTTGTCTATATCTACTCATGAAGAAAGTATAATAAAAATTATATAAGTCAAAATATGACTTATTATAGAAGTTGTTTTTTATTTAATAATAATAATAATAAAGAAATAGAAATTATTTTAAAAAATGACAAAATGAAAACATTTTTTTCAAACTGATATAGAGATCAACATCTCTAGATTAATTCTTAAGCCAATGACCTCAAGATTAGTTTAATTAAGAAAAAAATTTGTATTATAGAAGCAGTTTTTATTAAGATATATAAATTAATAATTTATTTAAAAGATTTTGATACAGTTAAAAGAAAATATTACCAGTTTATAAAATAATTAAAAATCCTTTAAAAGATATTAAAATATTTTGCTGAAAATCTTTTTATTGATGAATCAAATAGGAAGATAATAATTTTACTAACTGAAAAAGAACCTTTTTACATTTATCAGCTTTACTTAATGTAATTATATCATTGTGAAAATAAAATACATTAAAGTAAAAATGTTATAATTTGCAATTAAATTACTGGCTATTTAAATTTTACATAAATTTAATGAAAGTAAATTAAATAGGTGTTCTGGAAGAGAGTGAAGATGTTTTAGAAAATGTTAATTTTATTGATAATGAAAAAGCGGCAAAAAATATTGAAAATAAATTAAGGAAGAGTGATTATAAACCATATGATGATGAGTTTGATGAATTTGGAATGGTAAGTAAAACTAATTGTATCTTATTATTTAATTAAAAATTTTAATTATTAATTTACTTAAAATCTTTCAAATTTTTTTAATATTTAAATCAGTAATGTGCACATACTCCTGGAGTGTATAAGACAATTTGTAAAAGGACAGTGTTAATGTATTTAGTAAAGAAATAATTTAATTTTGTTATGGTATACCATTCAGCATTGGTCATGTCATGTCAGCAAATAATCTTATGTTAACAATACACTTCATCATATAAACAGTTTTTTTTAAATCAATCTTGTAAAGTGGTAAACACAATTTCTATATACTGTTTCAATTTACATTAATTTTTGCAAATTATTTAGTGCTATCGCAAACACATTTCAGATGGCTTTATCTCTGCCAGACACCACAGACAGCCTTAATGCAGTGCCAGTAGTACTTGACAGAGAAAAAAATTTTTCACAGAACTATACATTCTCTATTCCATCCAAGTTAATTTGTACACAACATTAATTAAAGCCCTTTATATTTGTGTTTTTGTCAACAATCTTCTATAATTCTGTTCAAATTTTTTCAAGAATATGTCAAGAAATTTTTTCAAGAGTATTTTTACATTTTTTTTTGTGATTGATTACAAAAATTAGTCATGTTCAATTACATTTTCATTCTTTTCAAAATTATTTTAGTTAGAAAAACTTTTTAAATTTAAATTTAGAAATATCTGGAAATCAATTAGCATAAATAAATTTTTGATAGCTTTTTTAGTATTTTTACAAATTGCATTTAAATCATACCAAGTTGATCAGAAAGCTATACTCAAAGGGTTTGTTTTATAGAAAGAAATATATACATTGCATAACTATTTTATAAGGGACAAATTGTAAGCCATTGCTTCTTTATGTTGATATCAATAAAATGAAATTAATAAAAGTTGTAAAGTAAAATCAAGACAATGTCCTAAGCACCAGGTAGTAGGCTGCCCAGCATATATATCACTCTGAGGGAAGTAGGTTTCCTTGCATATTTTGTGTATTCTGGAAAGCATATTTGCAATTTTATGACTATTAAAAACAAAAACTGAAACTTTTTGTTTGTTTTGTTTTCACTTTTTTTATTACAACTGTCCGAAACATTTTTTTAATAAAGTTCACAAAAAATAATTATATGGAATACCAAAACTTATAATTGCAATAAAAATGTATGCTTTACAACAGAATAAATTTTGCAGCAACCTTCCCCCAATTTTGATGATTACTTGATTAGTAGAGATTCTTCAGAGTAAAATAAAAAAGACACCAAAATAAAATTTCTGTAGAAATCAAAATTGAGTGATTTTGTTCAATGTAATAAAAGCAATCTGTGTTAGTTATTATTTTTTTGAACAATCATATATTTACACTTGTGCCAAACACTTATTTTCCGATATTAGGTAGTTATTCTGTGTAATCTTTAGGTTTTATATGCACATTATTTATTTTACTGACTAGTTTTTAAATTATGGTATTTTATAATTTTACTAAATTCATAAAATTTTAATTATAATGTATTAATATATTGTTTTTATTATCAGGTTAAAAAGAAAACTCTTTTGTCAAAATATGATGAAGAAATTGATGGTGTGAAGAAGGAAACTTTTGTTATTGGTAAATATACAATTTGTATTATATTTGTAGTGATATTGATCAGTAATTCCATTGAGTTGAGAAATATAACCTGTAAAGAATTGAAATCACGTATTTCTGTTTCTAATTATAAATAAAATAATGCAAAATTGCTTATTTTGTATACTTCTCACTGATAAAAAAATTCTAAAAATAAAATTCTTACAACCGTAAGAATGCAGTCTGACACACAATACTTTTGACATTTTTTTTTTTTTTTAAATATGTGAAATTATTCATTTGTATTCTTTTTATATAAAATTGGATTTGTTACTTTCATTTTAACAAAATGATCATTTACTTTGATTTTATTTTCTTGCCAAAATTTTTAGATGTTTTCCTGGAATTATATTCTTATTTACTTTACCAAATAAAATCTGTAAATTAAATATTAATTTAATTATATATTAATATACACTTATTATTAAATTTGAAGACAAATATATTCTGAAACTGTTATTGTTATGAAATATAATTTCATAAATTAATATATTTGTTTACATAACTTAAAATTAGCATAAACAAAAGAGTTACATTGCAGGAGAAAATTACATTTTTGCAATGAAAAACTTTATTGTTGTGCAATATTATAAAATATTACATATTGTTAATTCCTTTCTGAAAGACATTAAAGATGATGGGTAAATTATATATAATTTTGAATACAATTGCTGGGCATTAATAACATTAACTTGTGATTACATACAATTTTTTTAGTACTGTTGCATGCATAAGGCAGAGATTTTCTGCTGATTTTTTTTTCCTTGAATTTGACAATTCTGAAAAAATTTGAGATTTATCTTCTCTTTGCATGCCAATTTTCAAGATCATATGTTGTGTAGCTTATAAGATATTATTTTGTTTACAGAATAATGTCCTTAACTCAGAAGCTTCTTACGGGATAAGTCCCATAAGAAGCTTCCCAAACTTTGTGATAACAAGGACTGATGTGAAATGAATTTAGCTGGAAATAAATGATGGGAGTGCTGAGGTATTTCTCAGAAGGACCAGAAAATGATTTTTCTATATTTTTTGGACACATAATAAACTCACAAAACATTTAAATTGTTGAAGATCTTAGCATCCCAAATTATCTCAGAGACAAGCATTCAAAGTCAGACTGGCAGGCTATGCATGACATCAATTTCTCTTGTAGCAATTGTGAGAGACCTCCATGACATTAAGTAACTAAAAAATGATATGACTTAACTTCATCCAACACCGGAATATAATCAATTATGTATCCCAAAGACTGTTACCAGTGTGCAATTAACTTCAAAAAACAAAAAATTAAAATTTCACTAACGTTTTTGAACCTTCAATGGTTGTTCTTCAGGTGGCAACAAATTTCCGTTAGAATGCGATTAAATACAATTATTATTTGAAATTTGAATATGTGTTAGCCAATGAATTTTTACTAGGCATGCACATTATATACGCAGTATATAATGCGCATAATATCTATAATTTTGAATTAATCGCATTCTAATGGAAATTCGTCACCACCTGAAGAAGAACCGTTGAAGGTTTGAAAATGTTCGTGAAATTTAAATTTTTCATTTTTTGTAGTTAATTGCACATTGGTAACAAGCTTTGGGGTACATAATTAAAAAATGATATTAGAGTAGAAAATCACCACCTTATGCATGCAATTGTATGACAAGAAAAATTTTATGCAATTGCAGGCATAAGGTGGTGATTTTCTGTAGCAGTTTTTTGAGGGCCTGAGATAAGTGGAAAAAAGTTTTTTAGATGAAATTTTTACACAGTCAAATGGACAACATGAGAAATTTGTGGAAAATTTTTGCAAAATAGTAATAGTTGTGGGAAATTATCACTACTGTGTGTGATTGTGGGTTAATATAAAAAGGTTTCATCCAGAAATAATTTACAGGTATAGAATTTAACTGATTAAAAATAATTATCTGATTAGATAAATAAAACTATTTAGATTAATATCATTAACTAGCATTTTGATATATAAAATTGATTCTTGGTAATTGGAATAAAACATCATTGTCAGAATGTATCCCATTGAAAATTAGCATTTCATAGCGACTCATAAAGTCAAGGTTGATATAATAGTGTTGAAAGATTTCAGACTTGAAGTTTGTTTAATGACAAAAAATTATTCGTGTGCAAAATCAAGAGCCCATTTCAGTATATCATTAAGCTTCAATCTGATTTTAACTACATTTATTATTTAATTTTGGTTTTTCAGTTATCTTCCAGTAATCAAAAAAACTGTTTTGTAAAAATTTTTAATCTAACTTTGGTACTTTATAAAATATATATTTGAAGAATTTTACAAATTTAATCTAATATAATGAGTAATGTGTTTATTTCAAAAGTAATAATTAAAAGATAAAAGAATCATAATTTTAGAATTATGAATTCAGTATTTGATGAAATTTTTTATTTTAAGTGAATTTAATATTCTAGATATTTGATTAAAATTTGAAGCTATTTGCAATATTCATGTAAAATTATTTTATATGAATGTTATAAAATATTTATTAGAAATTTGTCCAAAGAATACTTGAATTTTGAATTTTGAAAAAATTTTCNTTTCATCATACAATGCATGGGAAGAGAGCAAGCAGTGAACTGCAGGACAGCACTGTAATGGAAAGCATAAAGCGCAAGTTTTATTACACATTGTCATTTCTACCGTGGTTTTCAGAAGGCACGGTGACGAATGGTAATCAGGAAAAGGCAAACATGCATTTTATGTAGGATTTCTGTTGCTGCCAGTGCTGTCCAAGACATGCCGGGTGTGTTTGAAAAAGTGCACCGCATGTTTGAAAAAGTCGCTCTTTTGAGCAGTTTCTGTAATTTTGCCACGCATGCTGTCAATAAAATTATTTAATATCTCCTCTATCCGTTTGGTGTTTCTTTCTTTCATGTGACAGTAACAGATACCTCCTAGCAGTTCACCACTTGCTCTCCACCCGTGCATTGTATGGTGAAAATTGCTTGTTTAGATGTTTTCTATCACCCCTTAAATTTTTGCCCACAAGTTTTGAAACACCCTGTATTTTATCTGTATCTTCTTATATTAAAACTGAGCTTTTCTTTACTTCAATTTTGAGAATAATTAAAAATTAACATCAAAATATTTGATATAGATTCCATTTTGTTAAAGTAAATAACAAAAATTTAAGATTTGAAAAACTGAAAGTCAACCCATGTAAATCACTTTCTTTGAAATTACTGTCATCTAACAATAAGTTTATATTTAACATTTTCTCACCCAAATATACTGTCGTTCTTTATATCTTCTATCATAACTGAATATTGGTACTGGATAATCTGGCTACTTAATATTATCTCCAAAAAATTATTATTGTTTGTATTTTTCGGAAAGAGAAAATTTATAAAATCTTAATACTAACCATTTCTTCTGTGGTGTAATATTCATTGGCTATTTTTAAAGCAGGTAGATCTAATGTTACCTATAAAACATACAATTTCATATTATTGAGAAAAACATTGGTAAGAAAAAATCTTTATATATATATATTATATATATATATATGTTACAGATTACCTCTTGCTGCTGTTTCAATTTCATTCTTATCAGTTCCAACTGTTTTTCACGATCAACAACTGAGGCACCTTTAATGATATAGAAATGAAACATGATTAAATTATAATTTAAATTAAAGATAACTTGAAATTAATCAATAATAAACTAATATATATTACATAATTACCTTCACTTATTATATTAACTGATAAGTAACAATTCATTTGATTGTTAACTGGTGGATTGAATAAATTTTCAAATTAATAGAAAATGTTATTGCATTCCTGTTTATTTCATAATATTGATACTATACTGAAATTCTTTAATACCGCATATCTGTGCAGATAAGACGAGGTATAAATTTTCATCAAAGTTTTATAGTTTTAGCATATATCTGACCTATAAGACGACCCACAAACTATCAATGGCCTATGAATTTAGTTTAGATCAGAGATCATCATCTGGATAATAACACTGTATAGCGTATACAGAATTATGTCCAATTTGTAATTTTTCAAATCAACAAATTTTATTTTCTTGCATCTGGCAAGAAAATAAAATTTGCCTTGCTATTGTTGCAAATAAACAGGCATTTGGGTGACCTTGACTATTCACAAAAACATTATATGGGCTATTCTATTTTGTGGATATACCCTACTCTCTACAAGTAAATAATTATAGTTTGTCCGCTTTTTATAACGGTTTTAATTTATATAAATTTCATCTAATTTTTTTGTATCTGTCCTATAAGACAACCCCGGATTTTGGGGTTTTTTTTTATGATTCAACTATCATCTTATCTGTGCAGATATACGGTAATTTAAAATAATTTTAATAATGATATTTGAAATATGTACATATATATATATGTATGTACATATTTCAAATATCATTATTAAAATTATTTTAAATTACCGTATATCTGCACAGATAAGATGATAGTTGAATCATAAAAAAAAACCCCAAAATCCGGGGTTGTCTTATAGGACAGATACAAAAAAATTAGATGAAATTTATATAAATTAAAACCGTTATAAAAAGCGGACAAACTATAATTATTTACTTGTAGAGAGTAGGGTATATCCACAAAATAGAATAGCCCATATAATGTTTTTGTGAATAGTCAAGGTCACCCAAATGCCTGTTTATTTGCAACAATAGCAAGGCAAATTTTATTTTCTTGCCAGATGCAAGAAAATAAAATTTGTTGATTTGAAAAATTACAAATTGGACATAATTCTGTATACGCTATACAGTGTTATTATCCAGATGATGATCTCTGATCTAAACTAAATTCATAGGCCATTGATAGTTTGTGGGTCGTCTTATAGGTCAGATATATGCTAAAACTATAAAACTTTGATGAAAATTTATACCTCGTCTTATCTGCACAGATATGCGGTATTAAAGAATTTCAGTATAGTATCAATATTATGAAATAAACAGGAATGCAATAACATTTTCTATTAATTTGAAAATTTATTCAATCCACCAGTTAACAATCAAATGAATTGTTACTTATCAGTTAATATAATAAGTGAAGGTAATTATGTAATATATATTAGTTTATTATTGATTAATTTCAAGTTATCTTTAATTTAAATTATAATTTAATCATGTTTCATTTCTATATCATTAAAGGTGCCTCAGTTGTTGATCGTGAAAAACAGTTGGAACTGATAAGAATGAAATTGAAACAGCAGCAAGAGGTAATCTGTAACATATATATATATATAATATATATATATAAAGATTTTTTCTTACCAATGTTTTTCTCAATAATATGAAATTGTATGTTTTATAGGTAACATTAGATCTACCTGCTTTAAAAATAGCCAATGAATATTACACCACAGAAGAAATGGTTAGTATTAAGATTTTATAAATTTTCTCTTTCCGAAAAATACAAACAATAATAATTTTTTGGAGATAATATTAAGTAGCCAGATTATCCAGTACCAATATTCAGTTATGATAGAAGATATAAAGAACGACAGTATATTTGGGTGAGAAAATGTTAAATATAAACTTATTGTTAGATGACAGTAATTTCAAAGAAAGTGATTTACATGGGTTGACTTTCAGTTTTTCAAATCTTAAATTTTTGTTATTTACTTTAACAAAATGGAATCTATATCAAATATTTTGATGTTAATTTTTAATTATTCTCAAAATTGAAGTAAAGAAAAGCTCAGTTTTAATATAAGAAGCTACAGATAAAATACAGGGTGTTTCAAAACTTGTGGGCAAAAATTTAAGGGGTGATAGAAAACATCTAAACAAGCAATTTTCACCATACAATGCACGGGTGGAGAGCAAGTGGTGAACTGCTAGGAGGTATCTGTTACTGTCACATGAAAGAAAGAAACACCAAACGGATAGAGGAGATATTAAATAATTTTATTGACAGCATGCGTGGCAAAATTACAGAAACTGCTCAAAAGAGCGACTTTTTCAAACATGCGGTGCACTTTTTCAAACACACCCGGCATGTCTTGGACAGCACTGGCAGCAACAGAAATCCTACATAAAATGCATGTTTGCCTTTTCCTGATTACCATTCGTCACCGTGCCTTCTGAAAACCACGGTAGAAATGACAATGTGTAATAAAACTTGCGCTTTATGCTTTCCATTACAGTGCTGTCCTGCAGTTCACTGCTTGCTCTCTTCCCATGCATTGTATGATGAAAATTGCTTGTTTAGATGTTTTCTATCACCCCTTAAATTTTTGTCCATGAGTTTTGAAACACCCTGTATAATTGATTTCAGACTGTTAGATCTTTTTTCTTCATTTTATGATTGAAGTGAAGACAAGAGCTTATAAAAACTTTTTACATTCTTAAGTACAGTAAAGAATTGTTTCATTCATTTTGTTTAAAATGTTATAGTCTAAATGTCTCTAATACTTAGAATACAAAGTCCATTGACAGTAACTATTATTAATGCATTTATGTTGCAGAAATTATTCCAGAACAATATTGAGCATTTTAAAATAGGCATTTTGGCACTGTTGATTAATGAACTATGGATTAGGCATAACATTATACACAATGTTGCCACTTAACTTTTTTTTAGTTTATTTTCAAGATAGATGAATATACTGTTATAAATTTGGCTCAATGAAAGTAAAAAATATTTAAATTTAATGCAATGGTAAGTAAAATTAATTAAAAATATGGAAATATTACTACATTATCACAGACGTCTAACAATTTCTTTACTATAATGGATTTGAAAATAGTTAAACAATAGTTATTTCAATAGAATTTAATAGTAGTCACATTGCTAATATTAACTGTTATTGTATAGATAATCAGTTATTGACTTCAGTGTGTTCAGTGGTATTTTAATATGTTAATATTTTTGAAGTTTGCAACCTACACCTAAGCTATAGCAGATTTTATACAAGGAAAACGTCACAATTTTTAAAATTTTACAGCATAAGCTATTGAAACTTTTTAAGCTTAAATATGGCATATGCTGTAAACTTTTAAAATTGTATTATCATATCTTATTGAATTTTATATAATATTTTATAATTTACAAAATATTACTATAACTTTATTAAAAATAAAATTTAAGAAATATTTCTATAGTTATTTTATTATATTATATAAACGTAATCTGTTACTATGTTTTAATATTTATATATATAATTATTTATTAAATTACTACATACAGTGAATGCTTGTATAACACCCTAAAATGTGAATTTGTATTATGCAATGAAAAAATTGCAACTAGTACTCATGCAGAATTCTAATTTTGTCATCCAGAGAGATGTTTTCTTCAACTTCTAGGTCTAGGTTTAAACTTTAATAAAATCATCTGATAATGCATGTCTTGATATTGTGATTTCTTATAATGTGGAACATATCAGGATTCTGCTGTAATCTCAAAATTGATTAAATGATAAACATTATTTCTTTGTTTTACTTTCATAACATAGTAAAATAATTTTTATTTGTTAATTTTAAGAGTACATGATGTGTAATAGCTGCTTACATTTTATAAAAGAATTTCCTAATTTTACTCTTATAAAGTTTAAATTTTTTTATCCAAAATTGATTGTTGTTGCAGCTTTTTCCCCAGGAAAAAAGTTTAATTGGATCAACCTGCAGTGTTAGTTGGCCATTATTGAAAAATTCTTTATAATTGCCAGTTAATGTTAAAAAAAATACTTGACTTTATCAATTTATAGCTTTCAATAGCATACTAATCCATTGTCCAGTTATCTTTAAAATATAATAAATTACTACATATATTATTCTGTAATAATAAATTATTATACATAAAATAAAAATCTTATTTTAAATAGTTGGAGGCAGTATTTAGCTGATTTATCAATCAGCAGCTAAAACAGGCTTGAAGAAAATTCTGTCATTGGATAAATTCATTTTAACCAAAATTTCAAAATATTGCACCAATTAATTATTCCTTCTAATTTCCATAATTTGTTCTGTTAGAAAAATTTAGGTATTCCTCAAAATTATTGCATAATATACATTCCTTTTTTAACAAATTTATTTATTTTATTGTAAACATTGCAATGGAACTAATGCACCATATATATATATACACAAAAGAGAACTATATATATATATAGTTTTCTTTTGTGCCTGGATAAATAAGTGAATACCCTGTGTATGTGTGTGTGTATATATATATATATATATATATATACACACTCATACACCCTGCCAGGGAGAAGTTGCTAATTGGTTTAAAGCTGTGGAGAGTCATAGGCAAAGATATCTTCAGTCTTTGATGCAAGATGATTATCAGTATCAAGCCTATGGTAACCTGTATGGTATGAATTAATGTAAGTCTGGAAGTGAAGATAGCATAACCAGTGACATCTGTGCAGTATACAGAAGGTGGATTTACTCCCTATTCTATATCAATCTTTTCTTTCAGATTATTCTAATTTAGTTCATTTCTAATTATTATTATTAATATAAGATGATAACCTAACTGTCTATCTTCAGACAAATTATATGGTTAATTAATTAATTCATAGTCCAAATGTAGTCATATAAATTCACCAATTAGATACTTAGTTCAATAATAATAAATCAGGCTGTATGATTATTTGTGTGTAAAACACTTGCTTTAATTGAAGAAATTAGAATATTAAATATTTTTAAATTTAAGATTCTTGGGGGGTAGTATAACTTAAACTATGTGAGAGTCTCTTTCTCTCTCTACTTTTATTTACTGCAACTGTAGGTGATTCCTGAATCCCCAGGTTCGTTTCAAGAAGCCTAAGAAAAAAGTGCGTAAAGTAAGAAAGAGAGAATTGCTGAAGCCAGAAGACTTGATACCACTACCAGGAGAAAATGCTGGCATAGATCACGGTTCTCGGTATGTAACAAACTGTTTATTTTTATTTATAAATGATAAAAGTTGAGAAATTTGAAACAAATATTTGTGATAAAAACAATGATCTTAATAATAGTAATAGAAGAAAAAATGCATTTATTTTTTCTTCTATTACTAAGTATTTTATTTTAAGTAATTAATAAGATCTTAAGGCTAATGTGCTCCAGATTCAAATCTACAGTGTTTTAGCTTCTATCTTATAATTTCTCATTAGTCTTGATATATTTGTCATTATTTTCTAAGATATATTCCAATTGATAATTGTCCAACTAATCAGATTTTGGGGCAAATTGACCAAAGATTTGGGCTCTGCATCTTCAAACTTCTAAGTGTAGGTTTTGTGTTTGCTAACATGCTACTTTCTAGTTCTTAGGTAATATGGAATGCTGCAGTTTTATTTATCAGATAGGCAGACCCTTGACAGGTGGGATATTGACATTCAACCAGAAGTTGTCATCCTCCTCCTAATGAGGGATGATCCTTGTAAAGTTTCATTGCGTTTGCACAAACTGCTTTTAAATAAATATATGAAAATCAAATAAACTTTTTTATATATTAGATTACTCACAGATGAGCCCAGTGTTGCTCAGATAAAAAATACCAACAGCAAAGATTAAGATTATTAGATTATTTCATACTTTTAATCCTTCTATAATATATTATATTATAACCTTTGTAATTATATAAATCAAATGTTATTGTATGTAAGGATTTATTGCACTGAATGACCAATCTAAATCAATTTTAAAATTCTTTAAATTGTGTCAGTAAAGAAATAAAAACTTTTTAAAATGTGTTTGATTGGGTATTTGGTGTTATAAACCCTCATGTAAGATAAACTTCGTAGTTATATAAATCAAAAACTATAATATAACAAACATTAAAACGAAAACCATATAGTTTGGTTTTTTTAGCTTATCATTGTCACATTTCTTGCAGTATTCGGGTGGTACAAAATGGCACAAATTCAATGGTCAAATAGACAGGAATTGAAAATATATCTTAAATTTTTCACATATCATATATTTTTTAATGCTAACTCTAAGCAATTGTACCATTCACAGCCAAATATTAAATAGTAATCTGCCAATGAATCAAATTTTGGAAAAACAAACAAAATTTTTAAACTCAGCACACTCAAATCATATTTTGTGCTTGCCAGTAACTTTGTATTATGTAATTTTCCTATTTGAATCCCACCATCTGCTGGTCTGATAGAATGGGGTTGAAGTAATTCGACCAATAGTAGTTGTTGACCTCCTCCTGGTAGAGATGGTTAATGACTATTACTTAATACCAGTCTACTATTAATATTTGAAAAGTGATCCTGTTAGACAGGTTGTGATGGCCCCAGATGATTGAAGTTGCTAACCTTAATGTCCAAAAAACTTCATATAAAACTATTTAAGTAAAAAACTTGTAAAAATGCAAGAATAATTGCTTTCATGTGATAATAAAGTGTTTACTTTTGTCAACAGATTGCTTAAATTATGTGGGAAGTATGTTCTTGTAATATTGCATTTATAGAAAAATTATTGGCTGCAATTTGAAAAAACTGTAGACCTATAAATTCCTACTGTCATTCCTTGTTCGTCTGTCCTGCTTTAATCTTGAGAAAGGAGTTAGATAGATGAAAGTATTTAAGGTTTTGATCAAGTTAAATTAGTTTGTCTATACAGAAGCATTTTTAATGATAAAATGACTTTGAACACTCCCACTCAACAAACCTTTATCTCCGGTAATGCTTAAATTTCAGGAACAAATGTTTTCAGCCTCACCCAAGATCTGCTTTCAGCTTTCAGGTTAATTGAAAACAGGATTCCAAACTTAGAACGACTTTCCTTGGATCAACTTCAAATGTTCAGTTTCAAAATAAATTGGAACATATGCGCATGCTATGTAGCATTGGTGACTTCCTGCTCTTCGCATATGTAGTGCCAGGCGTATGTTAGTGCATTGCCATCTTTAGAGTTTATACATCTCCTCTTCAGGCCGGCCCTGTATATTTCAATGGCCTTAAGGGTCTTAATATGGTCCACATTGAAGGCTCTTTTTATCAGTCTGGCATTGGATATGTCTGCGTGAACCTCTGGGTTGGTGGCATAATGAGCATGGTCTATGTCATATTTATGCTCATGGACTCTCTGTTGGATGAAACGTTTAGTGGAGCCTATGTACACTATGTCATGCCCAAACCTGTCATCCCTAACCAGGATACTGTATGCTCCTGGAGCTCTGAGATCATCCTGCTTGTCTTTCGCATTGTGTAATAAAGTATAATGGGGGACCTTCGGTAGATTAATTTGATGCCCATTTTAGTTACAATTTCTTTATACAAGGCATGAAATAGTTGATTGTACTTAACCATAGTGCACCTGTTGGTGTGGTCCTGATTCTGAACTCTGTTGCGAGCCCATTGATTATTTGGGGTACCGTGTGTATCATGTGGTCTGGAATAGGCTCGTGCCAATCCATGTATTAGTTCTTTTTTGTAACCTTGTCCCACTGTGATGTGCTCAAGATTCTGTAGTTCAATTACAGTGTCTCTTCAATTGGAACGGTATGTATACACTCTCCTAACTAAAGCCCAGAATGCCATAACTTTATAAGTGTAAGGGTCAGATGAGTTTGCTGGTATAAATTATAGGACGTAGCTGGGTTTTTAATATATACCAGTTTCAACCACTCCTCCATTGAGCATGACGTTGATGTCTAAGAAAGTGGGCATTAGTGGTAGTTAATTGGTCCAGTTTAAGGGTCAGTCCATATGGGTTGTCATTCATGCAACTTAAAAAATCATTGACATTTGGTTCTGTTTTCTATAGGATAAATATGTTGTCTACCTATCTCTTATATATAATTATATTGGACCTATACTCTGGTATGACAGTTTCTTCTAATCTACATAATACCAACTCACATAAGTCACCAGAAAGCTGGCTGTCCACTGTCCATGGATACCCAATGTTTTTTGTAGATAGATCCTGTTGTTAAACTGGAATATGGAGTTGTAACACATGATATGTGCCAGCTCTAAGATCTGTTTGCGATGTGTTGGCGTTCTGCATTTGGCTAATAGGTGATTACAGCAAGCGCAGATAATAGATGGGGTCCACATCACAGTGTTTGACTTTATATTGTTATATTCCTCGATAAAGTTACAACCATGCTTCTGTGCTCTGAGAGATCTCCTAAGAGAAGCATTAAAAAAAGAAGTGCATCTTCTCATCACCTTCCCCTTCCCCTGGTTGTCATGTTGGCCAACAAAACAGTTTTCAAAGATGGTAACCTTAGATGACTTGATGGGATAGTTTTTTTTTTTTTCCAGTAAAAGGGAATTAGGTGTAATTTGTTTTGGGTAGTGCTACAATATTAACTTTATCAGCAATAAGATTAGAAATTTATTTTCTGCTACACAATAAAAGCATGCATATCTATATATAAGTGGAGAATTTTCAGTTTCTTTTGAAAGATCGATTCTGGATTTACCAATTTTACACTTGTTTATTAATTAATAAATGTATCGTGCTCATAATGTAAATTGTTAATTTACCTAAACTAAAATAAACTTTAGAAAGTATTAAAAAGAATGAGAATTGGGAATTTTCAGCAGAATCTAGAAGAATTTGGTATTGTCCCATCACTAGTTAACCATTTGGAAAACATTAGTTTTTTTAATGAAATGTGCCAAGAAAGTTGTTGCTAAATCTAGATTCTTGTAGCATTTTAGCAAAAAAACTAGCAACAGCTTAAACCCTGAGAATTAAACATATACTATTATTGTGTAAGTTTATCTTAGAAAGATTTGTAAGTTTATACTTTTCTTTATCATGTTTCTTGATTTATTTTTAATTTCTGATCATTTCTCACCAAATTTTCTTGATATTGTTTTTCTTCTTATCTTAATTGTTGTATTTTCTTGCTAATATTATGTATTTAACTTAAATTCCACTTTAGTTAGTATTTGCTGAAATGTGAAAGGATTTTTTAAAAATTTATAGAAAAGAATATCTTTTTAAATGTTAACCAGAATTTACTCCCTATTTATTTTTTCATTTTCATCAATAGATTTAATATATTTTTTTCAGTTTTAATAAAACTTTACTGTAATAAACATATTTTATCAGAGTTTATGATGATAAATTGTAATTTATTAAGTTATTTTTCTGAACGATGTATTCGGATATTAAAACAAAACTGATTTTTACTTATTTATAAAATACAGAAAGACTACTAAGAATGTTGCAGTAAAACAGAGCAATAAAGTAAATGAAAAAGAAGAAGAATATTTATATAACTCACTTACAGAAGCTGTAGATATGGAAATAGATAAAAATGATCTGGAGGAACCTGGTATGTGTATTTCATTAAATCATATTAAATAATTTTATCAGTAATGCAAATTAAATAATTTTTTAAATTTCTTTATTTCTCAAAATTTATGCTACATATTAAAGTATATAAATTCAAATATTTTATTTTTAATTATTTTCTTGTTTTCTTATAATGTAATGGCTGTCAGTTTGAAGCAAATCATATGATACAGTTCATTCTCTTTATTTCCTAGCATTAAATGATCAATCTGTCATTCATTTTTCTATTTGTTGATACAAACGAACAACCCTCAGTCAATAATTTAAGCCAAACTTACCTGAAGATTTTATACGAAACGTATGACACGGTGGTCATATTTTTAGCATGAATACAGACTTAACATGGCATCATTTTCTATTTTATTAATAATTTGTTGATTTTTATTGGTAAGGATTGCTAAAAGATTAAAAATACCTATCCTTCTTGGAATAAAAGTTTTTTTAGAGTTGCTAAGATGATGATTGATTCTTTTGCTGAAGTCATGATCATAATGTATGTCTGAATAAAGCAGCAAAAACTGCCAGTTGTTTTTCTTATGATGAAACACATCAATCATATACAATAATCAATTTATTATTCTACCAATGTAATGCTAAATAATATATAACATGAAGCACTCATAAATGTCAAGCTATATCTGGTGTTTTTGCTACCCAAGTTTTTACTTATGTATCCAAATGATTAGATGGACTATTAATGTTAATCGTCTATTGTTACTTGATGATTTCAATAGTTTGTATCTAATTTATTGAAACTTTGTCAATTTATTTCTATGAGTATTTTTAAAAGTTTTTGAACAAGAAATGAATGTTGGGAATATTGTATGTTTGGACTAATAGTTACATACTTCATCAACAACTTTTCAAAATTCGTGTGAGAGATGATCAAAAAGTAACTTTACAAAGTCTGCAGTTTAAAAATAAAAGAACCATCAAATGTATTTACATTATAAGTAGACCCATATTGGCAACATAGGTGGTTAAAATGAAGCATGAATATAGGCAGTTGTGATGTAGCATTTCCAAATGACAGTGTTAGAAAAGTAGTTTTACAAAGATGTCGAAGCAGTCATTCAATTTTTTGTAGGCTGAAAAGGTTCCATCTGCTGAAATTTATTGTCAGCTCATTGAGATGTGTGGTGACAATGTCAGGTGTTTCAAAATGATATCACAGGTTTGCAAATGGATGAAAAAATGTACATAATTTACATAATACTTCTTAGCCAAGGTGATATTCTCTATGACAGCACCAGCTGCATATGGCATACGAGATTGGATTATTTGCAGACATTTCAATCGGAGGTTCTTCGTTATTCTCCAGACAGCCCAGATAAGATGCGTTCTGACTTTCACATTTTCTCACGTTTGAAGGAACACACAGGCAGTTGCCATTTTGCTACTAATGCTACTGTCATTGTGTGGCTAGAGAAATAGAGACGGAAACTTTTTGAGGATGGGATAGGGAATTCGATCCCGGTCCTTATTTCTAATCCCGGGATTTCGGGATTATACTTATTCAATCCCGGGATCCCAGGATTATTTCGGTATTGAGGGTTAATAAAAAATAAGAAAATCTTACAGAAATCAAAAATAAAAATTTAGACAAAAATCAACGTATTTTACGGTATACACCTAGTTAATTTAATCACTCTAACTAATCAGACTTACAGTCAGACTAACCAGACTTAAAATCACTGTTTCATGTTAAATTTATTCTTTTTTAAGCATCACTGAGATCTCTTTAAACTCACATAAATTGAAAAAACCTTTATGTAACAAACTATGCAAATAAACGTTGAAAATTAACAAAAATCTCTCTTAACATCGACTAAATAGACTACTTTCATATAACAACCTAGTAAGTAGGTAGTAAAGTAAGTTTCTTAGCAAAAAGTATTTAAAAATAATATTAATCAGTCACATTTTTCTTAAATATAAAGAAAACTAATCTAATAGGAACATTCTAATTTGAATTGCGAAAATATGATCTGAGAAATAACAACGCATCCAGTGTCTCATCACCAAGTCTGCTTCTCAATTTGTTGCACATATATGCAGCTGCTGAGAAAACGCGTTTAGGTTTGATGGAAGTTGGAGGAATCGTTAGTAAATACTTATAAGCTTCGAGGACACGGGGAGGATGGAAGAAAACAGTCCGGTCGACACGGATCGGGATTGTAGGAGTAAAGGCTACAATCCCGATTGTTTCGATCATTGTAAGCATGTCTTTCTAAAAATAAACGCGTTAATTTTGTAAATTCGGTCTCTGTGTGAGTCTCTCAGCGTCCAGCAAACCACTACCCCGAAACGTAAAAAGACTTTCTCGCATCATCCTGACAGATCGCGGGCAAGGCGAGGGTCGTAACCTTTTCACCTAAGGTCGACCCCCCTAAGCGAGAGGCGTCGGGTCTATATTAACTACACTGGCAAAACAAGATGGCTGACACATTGACAGGTAAAACGCACTGAGTAGTGCTCTCGACTGCGCCAGAAAATCGATTGGCGCCCGCGAAAATTCAAAAATACAAAAATGAAGTATATTACCAAGTAACCCAGTGAGAACTGCTTGCCTATCATTTTAGTTGAAAATACAAGAAGTTTTATTCCAAGCAAGCATCGCAAGCCCGCTAGGTTAATTTCTGCTGCTTGCTTGGAATAAAATTTCTTGTATTTTATATTAAAATGATAGGCAAGCAATTCTGTTAAAAGCACTGGCACTGAACGTTTCGCTTCATGCAGTCTATTTTGTAACTTTTTTTAAAATGATGTCAATCCCGAAAATCTCAGGATTAGGAAAACTTAATCCCGAAATTTTTGGGACTGAAAAGTGGTCGGGATCCCGGGATCAAATCCTCTAGGATGGGATAAACAAACTCATTACATTATGTGATAAATGTCTGAACAGGCTTGGTGATTTTGTTGAGTAGCATATTGTTTGCGGATAAATCTTTTATGTTTTCATTTTTGCAATGAAAGTATTTGTGTTATTGGCTTTGTAAAGTTATTTTTTGATCATCCCAAGTATATAAGGAATGGGAAAAGTGCTATTCTTTTTTAGGAAAGAACATTATATAAATAAACAATCTCCAAGATTGCACATCGTAGCACACTAAATTTGACTGTATACTAAGTAGAAATAATAGCAGCTAGTGATGTTTCTCAGCTTCTGTACACATTTTGAAATTTTTTTGATAATTTCATATTCATACAAAGTACAATAAACAACTGATAATACAATCAAATTTAGTGGAGTAGTATTCAAAACTGTAATAGAATACAAATTCAATGACTAAATTATAAATAATTTAAATTTTAATTAGAATGTAAAATTTTTTCTAACACTAGGTATGATGTCTTCTCTTTATTCTTGAATGTCAATGGTATTTTTGCATTTTTTATCTTGTTTAGTCTTCAAAACTAACAAGGCTCTTCATTGTTTGTTGTTTAAATATGGTTTTTCCTTATTGCTATTCTTGTGCTTAATTTATTCAAGAGACTTTAAGATTACTTTTTGCATCTATTTTCTTTACGTGATTCTTTTTCATGCTCTCTGTTGTAATTTCCTTAATTCTTAATTTTCATAACTTGTAACTGAAATTTCATTTACCCTAAGCTCTTCTCACATATCATATACTTTTTTTTATATCATCTTTCCTAATGTTGTCATACTTTTTCTTTTCTCTATTTCCTTCATATTTATTTCAGTAAATCATAGCACTATATTGTAAACTATTAAAAATAAAGTTTCTTTTTCTGGAAGCCAAAAACTTTGGATTCCAGAAAAAGAATGTTTTTGGCTTAAATCATTATCCAATATAATTTTAGTGTACTGAAGTTAGAAAGGATTGTGGTCTGGTCTTAGACTTCAAATATTTCATTAATAATGTTACATTTCTTATTTCTAAATTTGAATGCAAAATTAATAACTAAATTTTCTTAATTAGAAATTATGGGACCAGAAGAAGATTTAACTGGTGTACCAGTAGAAGAAGATAAAGCAGAGCTGGAATTGCAGATGGCATTGACAAAAGCTAGAAAACTTAAACAGAAAGAAATATTATCATCTAGATCAGAAAAGGTAAAGATTTAACAATATACGCTTAATTAGTTAATTAGTATGATAAAATAAAATCCTTAAATTCCAACAAACTATTTTTAAACCTTATTTACAGGCCTTTATCAGGCTAGACTGTTTGAGTCTTAAGAATTTTTGAACGTGTTTACATATAAATGTATTACAGCATTTTATTAGTTTAAGAAAAGGTGACATAAATATAACTACACAAAAAATATGTTCAACAATTGGGCTGGAATTTGGTAAATATCAATAATATAAGAATTTGTCATGGTAAAAATCAAATGTAATCTTCATTCTTTCCTTAGAAAGATTGTTGATCTACTTGACATAAAACAATTGATACTTGAATTTATTATTCTTATTGTATTAATAATAATAATTATAATTATTACCATTATTATTAATCCTTATCAAAAATAATTTCAAGATCATTAACAGTTTGAATTAGTAAAGAATTATCATCAACAGTGAAAGATGGCAAAACAGGCCATGGAGAAAGGAAAACTACATAAAATTAATGTTAATAATACTTATTAAGCTTGTGTTCTTATTATTAAACATTTTTTTTTTTATTTGAATAAATTTGACATTAACAACATTAACACAAAGTTGAAAGTCAGTTTGTTGTGAGAGAATGGTTGAAGGGAAAATTAGAAAATTTTTTATTCATGAATGTAAAAATGTGTCATTCTAAATGATTATTACATTTAAAAATAAATATGTATGATTAAAATAATGTGACTAATTCTAAAATATATTTATAATTTTAGTGAAATTGTATATCTCTGGATTTTGAAAAGCACTAATTTGAAAGTTTTCAAAATAAAATGTTTTGAAATTGAAATGAAAGATAAGATAAATTTTTAAAAATTGTCTTTTTGTAGGTAGCTGAAGCTATTAAGAACTCTGAAATCAATTCAACTGGCGCATCATTAAGTCAAAACAAAATTGGGTCAATTGTGTTGAATTCCACTGCAGAATTTTGTCGTACTTTAGGAGAAATACCCACCTATGGAATGTCTGGAAACAGAGATGAAGAAGCTGAAGAATTAATGGTAATTTTTTGTAGAAATTTAGAACATTTATTTTAAAATTCCAAATAGAGCAGAATAAAAGTTTTTATAATTTTTTAACAATTATTAATTATAATATCTTATGAAAAGTAAGACTAATAAAATAATTTATAATATGAATTTTAGGATTATGAGAAAGAACTGGTTGAAGAAAAGAAACGTCTGGAACAAGAAGCACAAAACAGGGGAGCTTGGAATGAAGTGGACATCGAAGAAAAACCAGTTGAAATTAAAGTACGTTGAATTTGAATTGTCACTTTTAAACAAATATTTTATTATTAAATAGCTATATTTAGGCAAGAAGTAGCTTTGATAAAGATATTATATATGTTGCAAAGAAATTTAATTATAATGAATGAGCATGCAAATTTAAAATAGCTATAATGTCACTTGTGTTTTTATTAAAACTATCAATAATTGACTGCTTATGACTATTATTCCAAAGTATTTTACCTAAAAAATATTACAAACTGAAAAAATTAGAGAATTTATCATGCAAATAAATATGCACAACATTGATGATGTCACAAAAAGATAAGTTTATAAGTTTTAGTATCTGCTGTCAATAAATTTGTATCAGATATATAATGGATGAAGAATGTGACATTAGTATCTTCTTCAGACGGAAGATTATACAATGTTATATTGTCAGAACATTGTTTTGTATCCTAGTGAAATTGACCCATGAACCAGTGTGCAGATGACATGTATTAAGACTACTGTTTTTTCAAGCTACAATCAAACATAAAGGAAAGCTGTGATAACAAGAAACTGTTTTTTCTTAACATTAGGATTAGCTAACTTTATAGATTTATCACACCTTGTAGGTTAAATAACAAAAAGGAATCAGAGATCAGGTTAAAGCTATATGCTTTATTGATATCAGAAATGCATTTTGTACTTATAGTCCCTCATCAGGCCAATCAGCAAGTGTGGATTACTATAATTCAGTTTGAGTAGGAACCCCAAACTTACTATTTCTGTGATAAATGGAAACTAAAATATTTTATCATTCATGAAAAATAAATGCAACTATATAATTAATAATAACGTGTCTTCTCAAAATCTAGAATTCCATTATACTTGGACACACTTATGCTATAAAACATAATTATATATAATCTAATGAAAATATAGTAGTAGATCATTGGTATTTTTGTTTTGCAAAAATAAACTCCACTATTTGATTAGCCAGGTCCATAATAGATAATCAACATCTTTGGCCGAGATTTCACAAACTCGTATTCGTCGTCACAACAGACGGAGAGAGCCATAAGCACTAGACCAATAACCACTGGGAAATCTCTCATCACCAAACAAAATAAGTTGGCTCTGTCATGATGGGCAAGCATGTAACAGATATGTTAATTAATGTAAGATTTGGCACTATTTAGTCAACATTATAAAAGAATTAACTTAATATATAATACAGGTCTTGGCAACCTACGATCTGTGGGTCACCAAGTGACCCATTTCATAATTTCAAGTGACCCACTTGAGTTCCGAAAACAAAATATAATACGGTATATATATATAAATTATAAAACATAAATATGAAACAAACACTTGAAGAATACATAAAAAAATAAACTGAAAATAAATAATAATAATAACATTTTTGTTTGATTACAAAGTTGCAGTAACGAACATGCATTTTTATTTTTAAAAAATAAAAATTGTAACATAATTTCAAGGAGAAATTGATAAGTTTGGCAATGCCAATCTATAATTCCTTGACCGACATCTTGTAACACTGGTTCTCTCAGTTCTCTCTCAGTTGTAGCACTTGTTCAGTAGCACAAGAATAGTGATGCAATTATATTATAGTTACGCAGTGAAATAATTATTGTTATATAAAACAAATTATTACCATGGAAAAGCAAAAACGAGATTATTTCAAGTTGTGTGGAAAGAAAAGTATGGATATATCAAAAATTCTGACAAATTGATATGTACATTATGCACAGATGTAATTACCTTACTGCCAGAACTTACAATATTGAGCAACACTTTTCTTCAAAACATAAAACTGTGTGTGAAATGCCAAATGAAGAAAAATCTGAATACATTGTTAAACGTGTTACCACAATCACGCTACATCTTCCAGCTTTGTTGCAGCTCTTAGCATTGGTACCAATGGAAAACCATTTACAGACAGTGAATTTTTGAAAATGCATGCATAAATTGTTCTGAACACTTATTTAATGACTTTGCAAATAAAAAACAAATCATTGAGAAAATTAAAGCAATGCCATTGTCAGCTAGAACAGTTGAGCGTTGCATTGAAGATATAGCTGAAAATATTGATGAACAGGTCAAAAATGATTTGTTAAATTAATCTAGTGACATAATTAGCATTGCACTCGATGAAAGTACCGATGTAAATAGTGTTGGGTAGGCTTGGGTAGTTATTAGATATGCATCAATAAATAGTTCAAAAGTGAATAAAGAACTTTGCAGTCTTGCTTCTATGAATGACACGACCAAAAGCATTGACATTTTTTATCAAGTACAAGAGTTTATTAATTTCAAAAATGGGGCAAATATTAGATTTAAAAAGTAAATTGTTTTCCATAACAACTGATGGTGTTCCAGCTATGAGAAGAAAAACTGTTGGATTTGTGAAACTAATGGAAAATGAACTTGGTGCTCACTTTTATCATTTCATTGTATCATACATGAAGAAAATTTATTTGCAAAGGCATCTATGCAACAATTTAAAGATGTAATGGAAAACGTTGTTAAGATCGTAAACATGATAGCAGCATGATCAGCATTAGTACATAGGTGCTTATAAGCTTCTATGATGGAAATGAATCAAAATATGGAGATTTGATGATTAAGTCGAGGCAAAGTTCTTAATAGATTTGTAGTGTTTTGATGAGATACAAATATTTCTTTATGAAATTTTTTAAAAATTACAAAGTCTTAAAAAAGAGTCCAAGATTATGTTCATCAATCTCGGACTCTTTTTTAAGACTTTGTCCTTAACAGACATAATGAACCATTATAATGATTTCAACCTACAACTCCAAGGAAATAATCACACAATTTTCAAAATGTATGACAAATGAAAGAGTTTTTCTTCAAAATTAATATTACTTGAAACAGACAAAAAAGAAAGAATTTAGTTTCTTTTCCTTGTTAAAAAGGCAACATGAACAAGAAAATATCAATGAGAGCAATCTTAATATGTTCAAAAGTTGGATTTTGTGTATTAAAAGAAAAATTTGAAATTGACTTTCAAATTCGAAGAAGCACAGTGAAAAGTTTACTTTTATAATAAAGCCCGATGAAAATGTTTTAGATTTGCAGTATTTTCAATATCTTAAAGTTGACAATTTTAGTTTAGAAATGATTGATTTTAAAAGTTCGGTATTATGAATGGATAAATTAAAGACATTGCAGAAACATTTGGAAAAATCAGAAAATTATGATCTTTTCATGATATCAACATGTTGGATATCACTTCCTATTAAGTTTTCATCTCTGAAAAAAAATTGGCTTTGCCATTTTGTCTGCATTTGGTTCAATGTATAAATGTGAGCAAATATTTTCACACACAAAATTTATTTTAAGTAAGAACAGGAGCAGCTTAACTACCAAAAATTCTGATGCTTTGTATTCATTTTAAGACAACTAACTATAAGCCAGATTTGACTAAACTGAAGTCACAAATTCAGCATCGGGAGCCATTGATATCAAAGAGAAAAATAAAGTTCATTCAGTTTTGTTTGTTTTTATAATAATTATAATTATTATGTTTAAAGCGTATTGTAATTATTTTCTCAATAAAATTTATCTTATTATTCACCAAAAAAGACTGTTTTAAAATGAAAATACCATTGATTCGAAACGTCTACTTAATACACACATTTTGGTTGATTTTGATCCTCAGTCAAAGAAGGTTGCCGACCCCTGATGTAATAAGTTCACATATTTTATTTGATTATATTTTTTGAAACTTAATATCAAATTTTTATCTTAGAATAGAGAAAACGAACCAATTCTAGAAGAAGAACCTGATGTCAGTTGTGGTTTAGCAGGAGCTTTAGCATTAGCTATGAAGAAAGGTAAATTGCTCTTATTATTTTCATTATTATTTTACTTTTATTTCTGTTTTAAATGTATTATCTTATACAAGTAACAAAAGAAATTAAAATGAATAGGTTCCAAATGTAAAGATTTCTTGTTTGAAAAGCAAACTGTACTTTAATACATTTCTTGAAATATCTGCCTTCTTTGTCTTGTTTTTAAAATGTCACTTATGAGTTATTTTATTATGCACAGAATGGTTAGTGTACTTAAACATTATTAAAACTTCTCAAAATTTAAATATTTTTGAAAATATTTGATTTTTCTAGACATTTTGTTTCTGACTCGTAGAATTAATTCTGAAATTCTCTTTATACTTTATTTAATCTTATTTCAGTTACAAACATATAACAATTGAAAAAATATTGATGTTCTTATATTATGGACATAACCAGTTGAAAGCATGTGGAGCTTTGAAGAAGAGGAGTGAGTGTATGCAGTGTCATAATTATTGTACCTCATAATTAGAACAAATGATTATTGGGATTCAGAAATATATTTTTAATATAAGAGTTCTGACTGTCTTAAGTACAAGATTGCCATAAGTTGGGGATCACTTAAAATTTACATTATTTTACATCTCGCCAATCAATATTTTGGTAAATTTTGAAAAGTACCTGGAAAAGTTGGGGAAATTTAAAATCCAGTTTTGCCAGCCCCCTTTGATGAAATCAAAGCTAAAGATGACATCATCATCTTTAGCTTTGATTTTGTTAGCAAAGTAATGCCATCGTTGTATAAACAAAACTGACCTGGCTTGGCTGCATGCTTAATCATTTTATAGCAATGAACTTATATAATTTCAGAGAACTGGATGGTTGAGATATGTTGTTAGGGAATAGTTATCATATATTTATCTGTGACCAAAGGGTCGGTGATGGCAATTCGTTCTTTCGTGCGTGAGTGGTCAGATTCAGGAGTTGAACATCCTGAGAGACAATGCAGCTGAAAGAAGTGCACACTACAACTTACTTAAATAATTGAGTATTGAAGTTTATGGGTTCCTAACACAGAAAGAGAGAGAGTTAGTTAGTTTACATCCTTTTGAGCGAGGTTAAATACCTTGATTGATAGGTTGATTGATGCCGTGGATCATCTTGACGAAGAGGTGAAGAGGTTCCTGCTGGATTGGGTAATACTCCTGGATGGAACAGTTTATGGTTGAATTTCTGGTAGGTAAACACAGCTATGGTCCGGCAGCAGTGGTGGTTGAACGGATTGGCAGTGGAGATGACTGGAATACACTTACACAAGGATAGGGATAGGCGAACTCTCTGTGTTGGTTCCAATGTTATTGTTTTATTTCGGAAGTCCTCCCCTTGATTTTAATGCCCACTTTTGGCAATGTTAAGTATTTTTTGACCAATAGGTGAATTTTGGATGAAAGTTCCAAGGTGACATACATTCAGATGTGTCACCTTGGGAAAGGAAGTAGATCTGGGGGAAAGATGCGCGATCACATCCTTCCTTTTTTTTTTTTGTGTTGGGAACATTTTTCTTTATATAATATGTGAAATTTAAGCGTTAATTTAAACAAATTTGATATATTTTGTTGCAGTTAATTAAAATTTTCATCTCATCCGGTCTCTCGCATATCTACATATCACTTTTGTAGATTGATATTAATAGACATTTCTATTTGAATGTACTGTACACAAAATGAAAGGGAGCAAACTTAAAGCAAGTTATATGTATTTGGTAATTTTTTGTCCATTTGTTCTTGCTAATTATGAGCATCTGCAATTTTTTCCATGCAGTGGACAGAATTTTTTGCATCTTTCTAAAGGTGTTCTTAGTAACTTTAGACAAGGAAAAGCCTTTTGATGAGTTCATAATTGCAATTTAAATTTGGCACAAAACTTGCACTTACTTTTAAATATATATAATCTGAAGGTTATCTGCAAAGATATTAAATTACTGTTGTTGTGAAAATCAATTCTAAAAATTACATAATTACAATTTTGTAATTTTTATATTTTCAGGTTACTTAGAACAAGAATCTAAAAAACTGTCAAGTGCTCCAAGACCAAGTCAATTACAAGCACAAACTTATACCATAGAAGAAAAGTTTTAGTAAGATTTTGTATCTAATTAATAATTAATGAATGATCATAATAAATTTCAATCAAGTGCTAAATTTTTAACTTTATTTTCATTAAAGCCATAACTTTTATCTTTAAAACAGTGAAGATGACAAATTTGGGAAACGAGATCGTTACACGGGACCGATTCAAGATTTCAAAGAGAAAGACACATACAAACCAGATGTCAAATTGGAATATATTGATGACAGTGGTAGAATATTGACAGCAAAAGAAGCATTTAGATATTTATCTCATAAATTTCACGGAAAAGGACCTGGGAAAAATAAAGTCGACAAAAGAATGAAGAAATTAGATCAAGATGCGGTAAGCGTTATTTTGATTAAAATTGAATCATAAAAAGCACATAAACAATTTTTCTGGGTTTTATAAATATCTGATTTCATTTTAGTGTATATTTAGTCAGCATTGGTTTTTTTTACAACAAAACTTTCAGTAAATCAGATTGGATTGATTTTATTCTATTCTATTGTTTTTTGTGTAAATTCATATTGAAATTTGTGCTTCCTTTTGTGTATTATACAAAAATTCGGACAAATCTCAATATTAATTTACAGAATTTTAGAATTTTTTACATTAAACTTAAAATCTAAAGATATAAAATACTGTCAACTCTCAATAAGTTTTCATGTTAGTATTTGGCAATGCTATTCAATTTTCTTTCAATATTATGTTTAGCCAAAATTAATTACAAAATGATTTATTAAATTATAAATTTCAGTTAATAGTAATTTTATATGGACTATCAACCATATAAAAATTTAGAATTGCTACTTTTTTTTTACTTAAATTTTAACAGAAAATAAAATATTAATTTTTCAGTTTTTTACTAAATATTATAGCTAATATTATATAGGTATAATTTGACAGGTTATCCTCATGTTGCATTGTCTTATCTCATACCAAAAAAAAAACCAGATATTTTGTATAAAAACTTTATTTATTAACTTTTTTACAAAATTTCTTCAGTCACCTTCAAAGTACTCTCCATTAGATGCAATGCACTTGTGAAGTCTTTTTCCCAACTGTTTGAAGCATCTCTGGAACTCTTCAACCTTGATATCATTCAGTGCCCTTAGCGAAGCTGTTTTTATCGCCTCCACATCATCAAATTGCTTCCCTTTTAGATTTTTCTTCATTCTCAGAAACAGAAAAAAGTCACACGGGACTAGGTCTGGTGAATATGGAGGGTGGGGAATGACAGGCCAAGTAGTGGGTCACTTGTAAGGCCATGTGTGCGGGGGCGTTGTCATGATGAACAAACCAGTCACCTGCTCGCCAAATTTCTGGGTGTTTCCTTCACACATCCTCTCGCAGATGTCGTAACACTTTTTTGGCGGATTTTTTCAATGTTTTCATCGTTTTGAGATGTTGAAGGATACCCACAACTTCGCAGGCAGAACAAAATAACAGTACGAGAAACACAACACTACGCTCAAACGTAAACCTACAAACCGACGCTGTTTGCACAGCTGTTTCATGAACGTATCTACTAACCCAATGTAATGGAAGAGTGTGCTCTCAGTTTGGTTTTTTTAGGTCCCCCCTTGTACAAAGGTCTTGCATAAATATGGAATTTTCAAATACTGAATTCAAAATATCTTTCTTTGTTCTGAAAATGTATTTACATCAGAAAATGCTATTTGGAATTCTGCACATTTTTTGTTTATAGAAATATATATAAAAAATAACTTCACAAACCCAATAATTTGAACTTAAGGGGTTTAAAGCCAGATAATCCAGTAGATTAATAATTTAACTAGAGGTAGATGGTTTAGCCACCATCTCTTGATAAGTTATTTATAATGTTTAATTTTAATTTCTGGAAGAAAATAATATGCCTGGAGAGGAATTCGAACCTGCAACTTCTGCTTACAGTGCAGATGTGTCATCAGTTATGCTACCCGGACTGCCATCCAATCTTCACTTTCAGAACTATTAATTCAGATATAATTGTATGGGTCACTTGGAGCCTGTATGGTTATATCTATGGTAGCATAAATGGTGATGAAGTTGCTAGTTCATGTCCTCCTCTGGACCGATTCTTTTCTTCCAGAAATTAATTTTAATTTATCAAGAGGTGTTGGCTTAACCACCTACCTCAAGACAAATTATTTTGTATGTAATTATAATTAGATAGCCTTACTACAGCTTGATAATTTGGTAGATCATCTGATTTTATAGAAACTATTGGTCGCCCCTTAAAATGACCTATCGTAGTGCAATGGAAAATGACTGTGCACTGTCCATTGAATAAAATAGGGAACTAAAGAAAACTATTTCAGAAATTAACAGAGATAGGCAAAAAAGTCCAATTACAAAATGGTATTATATGAATAAAATTTTAATATTGACTTAGGACAATTCAATTGCTTTCAGGTATCTTGTGAAAATGTTGACATGACACTAAGAAATTAAATATTCTCTTTAATCATGATTTATAAAATCAGCAATAGTCATTTTTAATGATATCTACAGGTAAAATAAAGTAAGGCTACATTTTAAAATTTCTTGTTCTTACAGCGTCTGAAACAAATGAGTTCGACAGACACACCTTTAAACACATTAAAAATGCTTCAAGAAAAGCAGAAAGAATTGCAGACACCTTATATTGTTTTAAGTGGTGGCAACAAAACTCTCACACAGTGAGTATTGTTCAGTACAAAAGTTAATATTACATTCTTTTAAAAATTTTTATAAAATTAATTTGTTTTTTTTTCATTTCAGGACAAGTTTGGCAAAGCCAAAGTGAAGAGGAACTTTTTTATTGATTTTCTTTTTTTGTGCATGTCTTAAATATGTTGTGTGTTTGTACGTTACCAGTAAATAAAGTTGTATAATAACTTTATTTATTAACAATGACAAATGTTTCCACATGAAATATAGGTATTCCAAATTTTATACATGTCTTCATTTGATAACTGAACTCTGTTAAAACTATTTTCCCGACAGCCTTCCTCACAATTCCATCTGTCATCCTGTAACATTTAAAAAAAAAAGTGCATAAGTTTTCCTTTTTTATTTTAAAAAAAGGCAAACTTTTATTAGGATACCTCATGTTTTTTAAATATTGTTGCCGACAACCATATTCCTATGGATACGTCTTCACCCTAGATTATATTTGTTATTAACAAAGAATTATGTAAAGAGCTGTGTGTAGGGTATAAATTATATAGAAATTACCTGATACGGAAATAATGCATTTTCATTATTTGCTATCCAGTTCACTACTTCAGAAGATAATACATAGCCACCTCCACAAGGAAAAGCTGGATAGACAAATGAAGCGTAATTAAAATCCTTCCATTTTCCAAAATAATTTACTATCCAGTTTCGTCTAAATCTAATCATAAAAAATAACCATTTAGGCATTTTATAACATTTGGTAATACAATTTAATCATAACTAATTTTACCTGCTCCACCACCAATTATGACTGAGTTTGTATTTTGGGTTTCTTAATTCTTTAACAATGTTAGGTATATGAATAAAACAGTCGTCATCAGTTTTTAAGAAAGCCAATAATTTATATTTGTCGACTATTCTATAAATTAAAGCTGTAATAGTTACAGACAAATATTTATATTCTAATTTGTGTTTTAAAAAATCTTACCCATTTAAAAACTTCAATAATTTTACTGGTAAATTTCTGTACACATCTATTACATCTACTAAGTATATGTCATTCCATGTCTCTAATTCTCTCTGTAGATTTAAACTTGTTAACAGAAGTGATTTTTTCCAATTACTTATTGCATTTTTTCTGTCAGTCTCAAAATTTAAAAAATTATTTCGATCTAGAAATAAAATATCATACAATTGAATTTTAATCAAAGTAAAATTAAATTACAAAAACCAAAAGCATATTTACCAGACAGAGCAAACATCATGCTCGGAGCGACAAGATTCTTGTTATCAAATTCCATCGACTCCGAATCGTCTGCCATTTTATAAATCTGAAAGTTACAATCCACAATTAATCAGAATGGCAGTCTGTAAATTACAAATTAAAATTAATTTTCAGTTTTACTCTTTGAAAGGTTATTAATCCACTTCCATTATTCCATTCAACAAGTGATAAGGCTTTTCTTGATAACACTCCTTCAACAAGTAATACACCTTCAAATCTCTTAAATATAGCTAATTTTCTATTAAAAATTATGAATTTTATTATTATTTTTAAAAAAATAATAAAATTAATACCTTTGGTAATAAATAAGGTGTTACAGAGCGATATAAAAATCCGTTGACCTCTGTATTAAATCCTTCGAAATTGATCATGGTCTTGACGACTATTTCCTACATATAGTGGAGGTTTATCATTAAAATGTAACATTTTATATTATATTAATTTTTTCATGGAATTGTTTTTCATACAGATTAAATGTGAAATTAACAGCTCGTCATACTATTGGAGTTTAGGACTTCAATTTAATACAGGTATCCCTTGCTTAACACTGAATTTAATTGAGGCAATCCCTTTATATATGCAGCAAAAGTTTTAATTAAAATGCCTTTACCGGGCTTATTTGATTGATGCAATTTTGATATACGCAGTAGCATCAAGGGATACCTGCAGTTAAAGAAATATGTTTAACTTCAATAAGTTTTGTTTGATGCAAGTTTACAGGATTTTATTTGAACAGAATGAAAACAATTCTGTTATTCCTCAAAATTTAATGTTTTATAATTGAGTTCTATGGAAAAAAATACCAAAGTTAAATTTAGATGCTTTTGGGAATTCTCAAAATACTGTTCTTTTTTGCATGAGATTTATTATGAAGTGAGTAAAGTGCTTATTACAGCATAAAGAAAATCCATACCTGTAAAACCTTACTCAATATGCTTAACTGAGAAAGATATTTAAGTACATTTAGGTACTGTACCTTATTCCATAGAACTCCTCAATTACTGATGATATAATAGCTTATGTAATTAAATATGCAATATATTTAATTATATGTCAATTTTCATACTTCATATATGTATATAATTTACATTGAAAAGTTTCATATTAATTACAGTTTTTACAATAAAGTAAGTCAAAAGTTTTATTAAACAAGAAAGTTTTATTAATAAGAAAAATCTTGTCATTATATTAACTTGTTTGTTTTTCAAACATTGAAATGCTTAGAAATTTTAAAGTTTAATAAAATATTAAAATAATTTTGGTCATAACATGATTTAAATATTTTATTTCATGAAGTCAACTAATTGATATGAAATGAAAAAATATATGAACACAATAAATTATGTATCGGTTATTATGAATGCTTACAGTGCATCCCAAAAGTACAATGATATCTCAGTTTTCATCGATAATCTGGCCAAAAACAATAGACGAAATCCAAAACCGAGGCAGTTATTTCCATATGAACCAATGTAAAACCAATTAATTTGTTCTAGACACTCCAAAATACATACCTAAAACATATTTTATAGAGCATAAATATTGTGCTTAATACTAAAAACAATATATAATTTATATAAAATGAATATAAAAGACTAATGTAAAGAATAAATGAATGTTAACATGGCATTTGAAGGGCTGCTAGATCTGGAAACTTTCTTCGGTCCTACGACTGAGCTAAAAGGAAAGCAATGGAATTGTTTTGCTAGGCATGCTGGGTAATGCTCACACAATGAGAAATAACAACACACTGAGCAGGAAAATGTGTGGGTCACCCTATGTTTTCACAAAATTAGCAGGAGTTCATGTAGGAAAACCAAGACAAATTTTCCGTGAAAAAAATCGACAAAGACGAAAACCAAGATATTACTGTATATAGATAATCAGCATTTTACTACTTTTTACAATTGTTAGTAATTTAAGAGAAATGTAAATCATTTCATTTGTATATGCCAATTACTGTACACTGATTTTTGATAATTCTAAAATTAAAGATCATTATATTAATAATTTAACAACAAAAATATATTTTTGGCTGTACCAAAAGTATAGATGATAAAACAGAATTGTAAAATTTCTAGCAAAGAAACTTAAAGGTACAAAAATAATAATAAATAACACTAACTTTGTTGTCAAGTAATAATTTGAATATTGAATCAAAACTTTCCAAAATGCCTCATGAAGGGAGTTTAGTATGAAAGAAATTGCATGAATATGGAAACTAAAAGCAGAAAGCTGTCGTGTGGGGCTACTTTGGATTTAATAGTTTATCAAATTTAGTGATTTTAACTGGTAGACATACATCTATAAGTTATCAAGAAATCCTAAAATATAATTTAATGCCTATCGGAAAAGAAATTGGAGGACCCAATTGGATTTTCCAACAGGACAATGCCAGTATTCATTGTTCACACCAGACATAAATCTGATTGAGAACTTATGGGTACATTCTTGCTCGAAAAATTTATGCTAATAACAAGCATTTTACGACAGTTTCAGAGCTTAAACAAGAAATCATCGAGTGCTGTTTCAAATGGATCCAGAAATCTTACACAATTTAATTAAATCAATGCCTAATTGCATTGTTGAAGTTATTATTAAACATAATATTAAAACAATTTTCATCAATTTATGTTATGAACTATTGCTCAAAGTTTAAAATTTACAGTGGAACTTGCTTAACGAGCAAAACAAATTGTAAAAAAATGACTCGCTTAACGAGTGTCAAGAAGAGGGGAAGTCCCAGATTCTGCGCATGCTCCATCAGTCTGTGCTTAGCACTCGTTCTGCTAGCATCTTAGTGTTGCTTGTGATCACACATTTTTCCAAACTTGTGTTCAGACATATTACATATAAACATCAAGAACCCTAGCCCATTATATAATAAACATGCCAAACAATATGCCAAATTTTTGGGCTATATAAAGGCTATAATTAAATATCAGAAATTAATTAATTTGACTAGAGGTAGGCAGTTATGCTGCCATCTCGTATTAAATTTAATGACCAATTCCAAATTAAATTTTGATATTTTTTGTTTTCTGCAAATCATTCACACTCCAGGTCAGTTCATTCCATGCTAGAAGAAAAGATGATGATTCACGCTCCTTAACAATGTATATTGTATAATTTTCTTTGAATAAACATTACACACAAAATATTTGAGTATTTTTTTGCATGGAACACATTATCATATTTTACATTAATTTATATGGGAAAAGTTTTTCACATTATGAGTAAGATTCTGGAACGAATTATGCTCGTTAAGCGAGGTTCCACTGTATCTATATTTTTGGGACATCAAAAAAACACAAAGTGTTAAAAACAAAATACTTAACTGTCAAATATTGTAAAAACAATTATATAACATTGTATTAAGCTATAAATAAATAATAACAACCACTTGCATTATTAAGAAATAATTAATAATAATAAAAACATACAGATTATCATCAATATTTTTGGGATGCACTGTATTACTTATTTTATATGCATAAATTATTGTCTGATCAAATATTGTTGTTTTCTAACATTACTGTATGAAAAAAATTTGTACTGGAGAAACATGAAAAAATCTGTGAAATCACATATTAAATTTAACAATTCCTGTGATAAAAAATACCTTTAAAGGTCCATTTAACAATGTAACTTTAACAGAAGAATTTGGAAGAAGTCCTTCAGCTAACACTCCCAACCTTTTAATTATTATTGGATAATTTACCTAAAATAAAAGAAAATATAGCTTGAAGTTTTTGATATGAAGAATTTTTATGTATTCAGTTAAAAAAGTAATGATTAGATATTAAACTTTTTAGTTTTAATTCACCTGAAAACTAAAACCCTGATGCACATAATGATGATGTTTAGAGTCATGATTGTTTACAATACTTATTTTTTCTGTTGAAAATTCTTCATTCATCTTTATATCTAGAAATAAAATTATATTAATATTAATTGAAAATTTCAATTAATTAAAATTTACAATAGTATATATCATAACACAGTTTGCACTACTAGATTTTGTTCTTTCAGATGGCCGAGTGATTAAAGTGTCAGGCATTCACTCTGGTGACCAGGAACAAATCTGGTTGTGTCAAAAACCCCAGGAATTTTTTGGGGTGGTGTATTCTGGATATGTCGGCCCCGTCCCATCTGGTCACCCCATCGTGGGCCTGGCCAAACCCACGATGGATCTGATAAAAAGGTCTTCTTAATGCCTACAGGGCAAAAACATAGGGAAAAAGGTAAAGTTATAAACCTACATATGAAAATTGAACAAAATAATCCAAACATTTTGTTGATTTTCAAATATTGACTTCATAAAGAATAAAAATCAACAAAAATACTTAAATTATTCTATTCAAACATAAGATTTTAATTTGAAATTCTAGAAGTTTGTAATGTATCTAATATATAAAGAAGAAAGTTTGTTAGTTTCTTCTTTACACATTAAAATGTTTGACAAATTTAATGAAATATTTCAGGGACCATCCTCTTGTCCGGGAGGAAGTTGATGTTTTGTCGAATAAACTTCTACTCAACTCCCTGCCTGAAACACCATTTCTATCTGACCAACAGGATAGTGGCATTTGATTAGGAAAATTAATTTTATTTATTTATGCATACTGGTTTCACCCATGATATAGGGAATACTGGTTTCACCCATGATACAGGGAATAAAAACTTATACAAATTATAAAACTCAATACACCACTGTATATATATATTATATTATTATGTATGTAATATATATATACGTACATAAATAATATAAATTTTACAAAACTAACAATAAATAAATTAAAATGTCAACATAAAATCATAGGGAGAACTATCCAAAGAAGAATTATAATAAAAATTATATGTAAAATAACCACACCCACCTAAAAGCAGAAGAAAAATTAATTGTCACGTCAAGACAACGGACAGTCTCCCAAATTCCTTAGGCTCGAAAACACATTTAAAGAAAAAAAATAACACCACCTATGCACAGAACCAAATGATTCCAAATACAAAGCAGAACAGAATTAAGTTCCAATCTATCCGAATGACAACTGAAACAAAATAATCATCATAAAATTACCTAAAGAATAATTTAACTTTCTGAATAAATAAATAAAAAAAATATCAAAATTATGCAAGTTACCAATAAGGTCCAAAAATCTTTGAAAAGAAAATAATAGAAACACCAAAAATACTTTCATGTAATTTTTAAAAATTAACACACTTAGCTATCACGTGATACACATCTAAAGACTGATTACCTTTGCAATATATGCAATAATTCTGCAAAAATTAAGAGAAATACATCTCACTTGCATTAAAGTAGAACTAATATTAAAAGAAACATTATTGTAAACAAAACTATCAAAAAACGATTTATTTAAATACTTATACCACATATTATAAGAACTCGAGTTAATAAACCTATTCAAATCCGAAATATAATTACCAAAATAATTTAATTTCAGTAAACAGCAACAGTTGTAATTATTTAATAATTCATTGAAATTAATACCATTATTAATACAATTCCTTGAATTTTTTGTCCAGAAAAACTCATTCTTATTTTAAATATAACATAAACACCACCTACTCCATTGTTTCTCATCCAATTCCATTGTTCTAATAATCCAATTCAGACACTTATTTAAAACTACAAAGGAAAAAGACAATAACAAACACTCCACAAAAATTAAATATCTTGGAGTACACTCAGATAAACCAAATAATTTTTTAATAAACAGCCAACACTGAATCTAAAACATCAGATTGATAACCCCATACCTCAGAAGCATATAACGAAGACAAAGTAACAACTGAATTAAAAATCCTCAGACAACTGCTCATATTATGTAACAGCTGATCTACACATCTGAATAACTCTGTCAGTTTTAATATAAGCATTCCTTTTTGAAATCTGAATGTGGAGTTATATTTTCCATTACTCTTAAATATTACACCCAAATATTTATATTGCAAAACTACTAGTATTATATCAAATTTAGATACTGCTTACATGCTTTAGATCGATACCGGATCTAAAGTAACACTTTTATCTAAATCATTGGCTCAGAGAGTAGCTCCATTTGAATGTAACAACAAACGAGGAAGGTCACTGTTTCAAAGCGTTACAGGCCATGGAATAAAAACATACGGAGCGGAAGAATTCCGGTTTGAGATAGAACCTTTATGCTTCTCATATTCTTTTTATGTAGTAGATGATCAAATAACTAAACCTTGCAACGGACTTCTTGGGAGAGACATTATTACAGCAGAAGGGCTCATGATTTGTTTAGCAAGGGAAAAATTAATTCTCCCAGAAGGAGAGGAGATCGATTTTCGGAGAAATCCGAAAGTAACGAATTCGAGAATCTTAGCGCAAGTGGGTAGGAAACGAAACCGCAGAGGCACATATATCAATTCTAAGGCCTTCATAGTTCCTAATCGATGTAAAATCAATAAAACTCCCAACCCTACTCCTATTTCTTCTACACCCATATCAGTAGAACAATCGCAAGATGTGGTCTTGTTGGGAGATTGTAATCTTCCCCCGAGAACAGAAATAATCACTATGGCAAAAATTTCTGGGATAAAGGAGAAGGGCAAACTTGGAATTATAGAAGCACAACCACTTAGTCAAGAGGAAGTCATAAGCGCTGACATATTAGCCAAAACCCAAAAGGGAGGACAAGTGCCTGTCCGAATTACTAACCTCTCCACACAGCCTAGGAAGTTAGCAAAGGGAGAATGTGTAGGAACCTTTGTAGAAGCGAGAGAAGACCCTACTCTCTCTCTGAATTCAGGCAATGAATCTTCTACTTCGAAACTCTCTAGAGAGAAATTTAGTCAGTTATTTGACTGGTCTCATATCGGGAAAGACAAGAAACAACCTTTATTAGATCTACTGTATAAATATCATTTCGTTTTTGCGGGAGTGTTAATATGTAAACCACCATTTATCATATTTAGAAAATTTACCTCCATTACAAAAACAACAACTTTAGTTTTTAAAAGATTCAATCTCATTATTTTCTAATAAATACTTATCTAAAATATTAATAAATCCCTGTAAACCTCTAATGGAATCGGCAATCAAAACTATATCATCTGCATATGCCAATACTTTAACACTAGTAATGTTCACATCAATACCTTTATAATCAGAATTATCTATCCATTCAATTAAATCATTTAAATACAAATTAAACAAAACAGGACTTAAAACACAATCCTGTCTAACACCGGTAGCTTTAAAAAAAGACTGGGAACAAAAACAGCACTATTTAATTCTAACATTTGATTCTCTACATAATTCTGCAAGCAAAGAAACAAATTTAAAACTCAGACCATATTTTAAAAGTTTTCTCCACATTAAATTCCTATCCACAGTATCAAAGGCCGAAGACAAATCTACAAAAAAGGCATATACTTTATGCATTTTTTCTCATTAGCATCTTAGTAATAAAAGTATGCAAAATAAAAACATTATCTATGGTAGAATATTTTTCTCGAAAACCAGCCTGATTCTCAAATAAAATATGTAAATTTAACCAAGTTACTAACCTAAAATACAGTATTCTACAAAAAATTTTTGAGATACAGGTTAGCAAGGAAATTTTTCTATAATTACTAGGAATCAATTTAGAGCCACTTTTTTTATACTGGACACAAAAGAGCACTTCCAATTCCTCAAGATTCTATCAAAACTTTTAAATAATATCAGAAAAACAGAATCCATCTTCCAAAATTCTGATGGAATACCATCAACACCAAGCACAAAACCAATTTTTACTTTACTTAATATGCAACTCAACTCAGATTTTGAAATATCCACATCCAAAATTTCATCAGACCAAGATGAACACTCATTAAAAACTGATGTCTACATTATAAGGGAGCAAAGAACCATATAAAGAATAAAAATATGTAAATCACACTTCCAAAGAAATATTCACTCTACTATTATTATTCCTAATTTTACACAGATTCCAAAACCATCTGTTACTTTTATGGAAAATATCAGAATTCTGTGCCATATAAAAAACTTTTTCTTCTTGGCTAAACAAATTTTCTTAACAAAATTACGAAATAAAACAAATATTCTACAATGTAATTCCAATCCACTTTTCTTAAAAACTCGCCAGGCTATTCCTAATCATTAGACGACAATCTAAATCAAACCAATTATTAATATTAATGTGTTCTTTCAGTTTAAAATTCATATTATAAGAATTAACAATCTCAATAATAAACTTACTTACATATGACAAAGAAACAGGCCTCTCCCTGACAGATGTTTCTCAAGATCACACAAAACCTTCATCACCTTGCAGTTCCAGAAAATTCTTTCATAAAAAATGCCACTATTATTCACTTGAAGTTGCAACAGATAGTCCAAACTCAATACAAAAGGAAAATGGTCCAAAAAACAACAATCAACAAAAAAAGACTTAACACAACCCCAAACACAGAGTTTATTAAACCAAAATCAATAACCAAAGATCCCAAGTTATATATAAATGTATGTTCACCTGCTTCATCAGCAAACATTCTTCCATTTAACATTATTAAATTTTTATTGAGGCAAAATTAAAGCATCTTCTGACCTCTACTATTTACATCCTAATAGCATCCTTGGATACCCTACCACTCTTAGCAAGATCAATACCAAAGGCATCACAGATGCAGCCAGAGACAGCATTTCCTTCACCTACCCAAGCATTAAAATAACCAAAAATAATCAAATTAGAGTATTCAGGCAAAGTGATGAGTGGCACAAAAGCACTTCTCAACCAAAAAAGGTCGCATGAGCAAATCAAGAGTGAAATCCATGCTCACTGTCTTCTTTGACACAAAAGGTGTGGTCCACAAGGAGTTTGTGACTACTGACAAACAGTGAATGGTAAATTTTGCACAGAAGTGCTTGAAAGTTTGAGGATTAGGATCCGCCATATCCAAAGAGAGATCACTGATACCTGGATGCTCAGTGAGGTAGGCACTGGCCAAACACATGTCAACACTGCCTCAACCACCCTACAAAACAGATGTAGCTCCCTGACTTCTTTTTGTTCCATTGGATCAAAAGGACATAGTTTTGGGATGACTGAAGTGGTCCAACATTCGATTGAGATCGCAAGGATGTTCAATGGGGTGCCTGAACAACCTTGCAGTTGCTGTCTTCCAGGGGGCATATGAAGTCTGGAAAAAGTGCTGGCAGCAGTGTATTGATGTGTCATATTTTGAAGATTATTAATTCACTGTACATATCTTCAATAAATTTCTTTTTATGACTTCAGTCCAGATACTTATTTGACAAATCCTGTATAACTTTATAAAACAGGGTAATTAAAGAGTAGGGTTCAGATCTCTCTGTAAGAAGAACTATTGGGCAAATCTCAACAACTTTGGTGTTCATACTACCTTGTGGTTTTGATTTTTGGCAAAAAACTTTCTTAAAAATTTAGCTGCTAGGATAAAATATGGTGTTGCTGTCCCCTTAACTTACAAAACATATATAATACGCATATTATATATGTTTTGTAAGTTAAAAATCAAAGCACAATATTTTAGTTATAGATGTGAAGTGTGGAATTGACTCTTCTGATGGTGGTTTGTAACTGACCTTCATGGAGTTGTCGTACATCTGTAAAATTCTGTCTTTTAAGACAACTAGGTTGGAAACACTGCCTTGATAAATGAGGCATTTTGGATAGTCCTGTAATGAAGGGAAACAGGTATTTGGATATGATGCTTTTAACAGCCATGACATTAGAAATGGTCAGTTAATCATGCTCTCTTGAAAAAATATTGTTGCAATGAGGTTTTTGCATTTAAGCTGATTTGTGCTGCACCATCATGCATAAATATTGTGGTGTTTGGACAATTTCTCTGCTGCAGTGCTGGAATGACAAAGTTTTGAAGCATATTACCATACCTAGACTGGCCAATATGCAGAGTTTGCTTATGTAATAGGCATATTAAAGGACAGCAATGCTAAATTTTGCTCTATAAGCTAAAGTTTTTGGAAAAAAGTTTTACTTAAAGTCTAAGCTTTACACTGGGGACAGTATATCTGTTAAATTCAATAACAAAAAATGTTAAATTACTGGAAAAATGACCAGAATGCAGTGTATTGATGCAGGAGAAGTAAATAACGCATTATTTCACAGGTGAATCCACAATAAGATAATTTCTGCAACCAAAACTATATGTATAGTGCTATCTTGCCAAATTTGGCTGAAAAAAACCGATGCATTGGTAACAGAGATGCAAGCTCACTTATCCAAGTCTATGTCCATGTTTGCCGAAGTGACATCAGATCAAAACTGACAAATGACCAAGTTGATTCTGAATTGGGCTCCATTTGTCTTCCTCAATAAGATTAAGATGGTAAATTGTTTTATGTGTATGATAAAAATGCCTCTATTTCTGAAGGGGTGCATTGACACAACATACCACAAACAGTAATTTTTTTAAGTCACACACAAATTTTATATCATGGTATTTTTTAATTTTAAAACATTTCTAGTCACAATGCATTCTGATAGTTTTTATGCTCATTGAGCATAATCAGTCAGGGCCTAACATATATTTGGTTGAGATTTATCCAATAGTTCTTTACAGAGAGCTCTGAATACCACCTTTTAATTACAATCACTCTATATATCTTAAAATATTTCCAAATCATCTTGTAAATAATGTATAAATGTAAAGTTAACAAATAAAATATTAAATAAATTAACTTTTTCTCTTCATTTAAACTGTAATCATACATTTATATTTGCTTTAATAAATACAGTTATACAATTTAAAAGTTATTATATTCAATAAGTAGGATTAGCCTAAAAATAAAATACATTGTTCACATTAATGCACCTAAATCCAATTTATTCAATAATTTAACAAACATCATGTGTTTTTTAAGGTTTTATTATTACAATTTTCTGAAACCGGTGTTTTACAATTTCCTATGATTCTCAAACACAAAATCATGCTAATATTTGAACACTTGGCATTTTTTCATCTTTATTTAGTTGATACGAGTATTACTACACATTTCGGGCACTGCCAAGTGTTTAAATAGTAGCATGATTTTGTGTTTGAGAATCATCGTTTTGTTATTATCCAAGGTACTCTCGGTTTACAATAACTTGGATAATCAAGACTACTGAAGTTTGTGATGTATAACAGGGTTTGGAAATCTTTGTGATTGCTAAACCAAACTAAAACAATGCAATGACTCAACGTGCCAGTTTTATTATGAAAAAAATAACCTATATATAATTTTCTACGATTTAATAAAAGTATTACATTGGCTACATTAGATTAAAAAATGGAATATAGAATAAATTAAAACTGTAATTTTATTTTGTGAATTATTGATGCTATTAATAAGAATAAACTTTCCTGTTGAAAAGTATAAAAATTTTGAAGAAAAGAACATGCATTGCTTTACCCAAGAGCACTAATAACAATTTTTTATTCTTGGGTTTGGCTAGATCTATATTATGGGAGGCCCGACGTAGAGCCTCCCATAATGTAGGTCTAGCCAAACCCGGGACAGGCCATTGTGAAAAATTCTTGAGGCTACCAACCCGGATTCAAATTCAAATCTCCAGAGCAGCAGGCCAACATCATTACCATCTCATCTAGCTGGCTATCTGCATTACACAGTTTGCCTTAAATTTACTTGTGATTAAAATAATATTTACATTTCTATAACATCCGATACAGTTAGTAATGAATTAGTTTTACAAAGGGAATTTTCTAAATTACTCTTTTAATGTATTTTATGGCCCATGTAACATTTGGAATTTTATAAAGCTTGAAGCTTCATCTACCAAGTAATGTTTGGAAAAAATTTCTAGTGAATGCTACAAGTATTCTAAAAATAAATAAAATTTTGAAATAGTTGTACAGTGTAGGGGTTATACACTGGTGTGCAAAACTTAAGCAACAATTGTTTTTTGCCATAACTCTGCAAGAAATCACCTGGGAGACATGAAATTCAGAATACAGAGATAGTATTTTGTACTTAAAGGATGAAGAAAGCATACTAATGCAAAAATGAATAGAATGGATACAGTATAGAATCAAAGCCGTCTTCTTTTTGTAATCTTGCACTGCATGCACTTACTGCACACATTCTACGTGCCCTCGTCACCTGTGATGACTTCTTCCTGAATACGAATCACCTTTCTACTGATTTATGTGTTTTATTGTACTTATCGCAACAAGCCCTTTTCTACAATTTGATAGATGTTACATTGTTTACATTAAATTACATTGTTGCTTAAGTTTTGCACACCATTGTACAATAAGCATAAGGGCATACAACAAAAATGAAAATGGAGAAAAGTTTGTTTCTAAATATCAGTGTTAATGAAATGATGAAGCTATAAGGTGGTGTTTATCTCTATGTAACAAAGATTTTACAGAAGAGTTTTAAATTCTATGAAAATGAAAATATATTATTTACGAAAAACTATAATAAATATACTGTATATATATATAAATTTTATTAATAATTTAAGAAATTATCAATAATTGCCAGAGATAAATAACATCAAACAAAAATTACTGTTCATCAGTATAAATTATACATTAATTAATACAAACCGGAAACGTTAGCTTCCCATAACTGGCAGTCATAATCATTCAATCGATATTCGACAGGAATTGGACAATCCCTGTTGCCTACAATAAACCATGCTTTTGCATTAAAATTGCTTAAAATTGAAGAATTGTTCAGAATGCTCAACCAGGTTTTTCTGATAGCTTCTCTTTGTTGAAAGTTTGACCTAGATGACAGGATTCCGATGACTAAATCGTATTTTGTTTTAGTCTCTTCTGAAATCAAAATGTATATATTCATTAAAGGAATGCTTTAAAGTATAGATGTAAACATAAATAGAAATTAAAATAATTTTAATAAATTTTTCTATTCTTCTAGAACAATGGTTTTCAATCTCTCTCTCATAACAACAGTGTCATGGAAATTTCACAAAATTCTATCAGTTAGGATGCTAGCTTCAAAAAATACTGGAAAATCACTGCTTTAGAATCATAAAATATAAATAGATAAACATTTAACTATAATCATAGAACATGTATATACTGTAATAGAAGTATATAAAAGCAACTGTAGATAAAAATTTGTTTAGAAAATTATTAAGTTGAAAATAAATTCAGGCAGCATTTAATGCTAGATGCGGAGTAAAGTTTAAGTAAAGTGATCAGATTCTGATGTGTAAAAACTGGAACATTAGGCCCAGTGCATTGACACGACATCAGAGGAGTCACACAATTGATTCTTGTCAGTAATAATGTTTTCTAGTCTTCTAACACCTCAGAAATTTTACATTTACCCCACAAAATAATCAACATTGGATGTACTTGAAATTTGGAGTTTATCAAATGCTTTGAGGAGACAGCTGGTTGGCTAAAACAGTAAAGCATCAACCTGTCATTCTGTAGATCCCAGATTTAAATCATTCATCAGTGATTTCACTTGAATGTTTCAGGTCCCCTTTACCAACCAGTCATTTCTGTATTGGTCTGGTTAAATCCTTAATGGATCAAATTAGATTGATGAGATAAATGCAATATAATACACTGGTAGTCTGCCTAACAAGAACAACTTCCAAAAGAAACGGCCGCCGAACGGGGGTAAAAAAAAAAAAAACCGAAAAACTCCATTAACGAGGTACCGTACAAACCTGCAACCAACTACCAGTATTCGGTTTGGTGGTTTCATCCATTTGGCAACTGGTGGGCAATCTACAACGGGTATGAGGAAAGAAAGGCCTTAGTATTTGCAGGCAAAATGAGTTTTAAAAAAACAGTTGAATAAAATGATATCAAATAGATTAATACTTGACTTCCATGTATCTGATTAGTATATTAAACCTTTTCCATTTAAGAAACAATAATGACAAATCAATTATTTTTTTTAATTATCATCATTTATATCTTCATTATGCTTTACTTTAGAAATTAAAATTTATCTAATAAAAAATGTTTCATAGATATCATAGCATAAGGGAGTAAAATATAAAATTACTAAATGATAAATTATGGAGAATTAAGATTATTTCAATGCAGCAATATTTTACATTCTAGATATTTTTATGGGAATAATTTGAAATAAATATATAATATTTAATCAAAATTCTGTGTATTGTATTGATACAAATAACTAGCTCTATTAATTATTCTGAATGCCTTTTTTTTATAATTATATTTTTAAAAATATCCAATTTTCTCTTTAGACTTTAGAATAATAGAAAAATTGTTTTTGTTTTTCCATCTTAAATATTTCCCGAATAATTCGATAATGGCCTTCTCGTAAAAATAATAATCTGGAAAAATCTAAAAACAGTAGTCAATGGAATGTGACTATGACGTTGCGGGAAAAAAAATAAGGATACTTTATTTTTTACACAATTACTAACAATACCAGAAAACAAAAGATTTATTGGAACAAAAGAATCACGTGATGGATGTGTTCTGTTCCGTTGCTTCCTATCATAGGAGACGAGATAGTCACGTGAGTAATTGGACTCGTGCTATTGGGCTCAGAGTTCAGGCTCAGTTCGAATTTCGAATAAAGCTCTTTATTTGCTTCGATCCATTTACATCGATAGCGTTAGATTTTACTCAATCATTTTTCATATCGAAGATTTTTAGTTTTTTTTTTCTCCTCATAATACAATGAAGATTTCAAAAGAAATGTATATTTCGCATTCTCCTATATCAATACGCTATAGTTATTTTCTGCACATACGTTCAGATAGGAAGAAAAAAATCTTTCTGCGTTAAATATTTCATTCCAAAACGTACAGTACAAACATTTATGTAAAAGGTAAGCTGGTAAGTTTATTTAACACTTTACTTGCGATCGAATACTCAATATTTGATTAAAATCGAGATTTTTGTTAATGATTTCGTAACCACGTGGCTGTGGGACTTGTGGTTTTAACAAAACTATTTTACAGGTAGTTATTAAGAAGTTTACTATTATGGTTTTTGTTTTTTTAAAATGTTTTTCTATTTTTGTACTTATTATTTATTTTCCCAGCTTTTGCAGTATAAAATGAATGCGAAAAATGTAGAGCAATCGAACCACGTGAAAATATGTCGTCACGACTTATATTTCCACGCGGTTCGATTGTTCTCGACAAATAATCCCGACTCATTGTAACATGGAATAGTTTTCGTATTTTTTGAAAACAATCTTTTATTCAAAATTACGATTTTGTGTTGAAAATCAATCGTATGCTCGCTAATCTCCATTATAAAGCATATAGGCGCGTATGCATAAAGCAATACGATTCGCTTGAAATAAAACAGCATTGAAATGTGCAGAACGAGTTTATCTTACCGAAGAAATATAAGTAAGTGGTTGTCCAATCGATCCTGTTTAGAACAAACGAAAGCAACACGACCGAAGCTGTCCATTTCCACATTTGAAATCAAACACGTGTTCTCTTCCCTCCCGACAAAACGGCCGCTAGCGCCCCCAAGCGACAAATTTCTTGTTTTTGTGTTGTTTTAATAACAAAACAAAAACAAGAAATTTAATAAATATTTTATTTTAATAATAATAATGTCAATAATCGGATTAAAACATCGGAGTTATTTCTTTATAATTATTTATTAATAACGGATGCGCCGCATTAATTCGGCCGAAACCGAACATTTATCAATTTTTAAAATTGCGCAAGTAACTTCCGGGGCGTGGGGGCGTTAAGAGTTTGTAAGCGAGGGAGATGGATAGTCGTGGTAGAAGGATCGTCGTCTGCGATAACGGTTCCGGGGTGAGATTTCGTACCATTTAATTATTAATTTTATATACGTAACAATGGTTTCTGTTCTCAAAATCTTAGGTGGTTAACAAGTGGTATTCTGAAGAAGCGCCGATAAAAACGTATGGTGTGTCTTGCCCTCCTCTATAAGGAGTTACACATTGTATTTTCTTTCAGATTGGAGCCTAAATGTGAATTATGTAGACTTTATATGTATAAAAATTGTCTTATCTCTTTGTAGGAAAATTAAACTTTCATTTACACTTATTGTTACAAATTTGGGTAGAAGTTACTTTATGCTTATATAAACATATGACCGAAAGTAACTTCTACCTATATCCTTTATTGACTTACCTATAAGTATACTTCTGCTATCCTTTTCACGCAGTCCTATGTTTGATCTGGGGTTGTGTAGTAAAGATAGCGATATTAAATGTTTGTCGAAATAATGTTGACTAAATTTCTAAGTGAAATTTAGTTCTTTTCGCAACTACATTTTTAAGATTTAATTAATGTTTTCGTTGATTATATTACAGATTTTGTCATTTGTTTTTAAGAATACGTTAAATAAACCGACACAAATTTAAATTGTATGTACTCTATTGGTCTATAACTGTTGCTGTTATGTGTAATAATAATAAACTGTAGATATAGTTTAAGTGTAAATTGTTTATTGAATTGATTTTAATACAATGGATCGTTAAAGCTGTTGTATTATTAATATTTTCTATGGCCAAAATTTGTATCGTGTTCTGGTGTAAACCGTTCCGTATCCAAAGTAACGTTGAAGTGCTACGAAAAATGCCTACTTGCTCGTTGACCGATGATTCTAAATGAAATTGTCGATTATGTTATTTGCCGATATAAAAGGAATTAATATGTTAACTTACGGTCGAATATGGTTATAACATACCCCTTGGGAGAACATGAACGTGTTAAACTGAGGTCATGGAAAAATCCTAAATAAAAACACTAGATTATTACATTGCAGTGTTAATAGTTTTAATGCCAGTATGGCTTTCTTACAATATAAGATGTTTTACTTAGTTCCAGGCATTGTAGTACTGATAAATCTGCTTGTGATTTCTCTACTTTTGCAACAATTTGCTTTAGCAGATGACAATAGAGAATTTTTGAAAACAAATTGAAAAACTTTAAAACATACACTAGTAATCCTAGGAAATTCCATACTGTGTTACTGTTACAAGATCTGCACTTGCATTCAATGTGTAAATTGTCTTTTATTTTCACATGACTTGCTATTTTTAATATTGAGTCAAAATTGACTTAAAACTCCACTGAAATTCATTTTTCAATTTTTATATTTTTGTTGAGTTTTGACTAATGTGATGCTTAATTTATCTCAATACATGATAATGTTTTAACTGCTATTTCACTTTGTAGAACACTTAAAATATATTATATGTTCCAATAAGATCTTGCAACCTCTTACATTATAATCAAATTTTTATAAAGATGTTATTGGTTTAAGGTCATATCCATGTATCTGATTGATTCATAAGAGCATTTAGTACCCAAACTGAATTAAATATAGTCAAAGATACATTCTAACACATTTGCTTCCATACATTAATGTCCTTAGGATGAATGACACTCCTTTTCTGAATTTCCATGTAAAAAATATATACAGTAGAAATTATTTTATTATATTTAAACAACCAAAATTAAGATTTCCATAAGTTAATCATTTGAAATATTTTTTGAAAATAAATCACATATTTAATATGTTTATTATTTCAGTTTGTAAAATGTGGTTATGCCGGGTCCAATTTTCCAACGTACACATTCCCGTCGATTGTCGGGCGGCCAGTTTTGCGTTCGACAAATAAAGTGGGCGATTTGGAAATTAAGGTAATTATTGAAAAATATGAGAAATTTTTAAAATTCTGTTATGTATAATTGTAAGGAGCTGTTTTTTATTGTAAAACTTAAAATCAAATATTTTGAAAGGATTTGATGATTGGTGAGGAAGCAAATGCACTGCGATCCATGTTGGAGATCAACTATCCCATGGAAAATGGCATAGTGAGAAACTGGGAAGATATGTGCCATGTTTGGGATTACACATTTGGACCAAGTAAAATGAATCTTAATCCAAGAGAATGCAAAGTACTTCTAACAGAAGCACCACTAAATCCTTCTTCAAACAGAGAGAAAATGATAGAAGTGAGATTTTAGATTTAAATGTGTATAAATTTTGACTAATTTTTAACTATTATCAGTTGATATAAAATAGATTAATTTTATATTAATACATAGTACATTCTCACTAATCCAAACTAATTGTTGCATGGAGTTGTTTACACTAATCCAAAGTTCATATCTGTTATTTTTGACTTCCTTTTTTATGTATAACTGCAACAAATATCCTTAGTAAGAAGTGACTTCATAGATAAATCCAAAAATTATTTCCGTGTGTTAGCATTCTTTGTTTTTGAATTGCCACAGAAGTATTTCATAATATATTTTTTAAGAAGTGTGTTTTACAAATTATATATTTAAAAAATCTGATTTCTCTCTTATTTTTGGACAGAATATTTAAAGGCAAAAACTTTGTCACAAAGTTGCCATAAAAGGTAAGTGAATAAGTATCTTGTTTTCAGCAGACTCCCGAATTCAAATGCTAAAACTGACTAATTATCTCCATTTTTGAGTTTCTCAGAATGATTTTTTTCTTGCTTCATCTTCATCAGTATTAGTTAATTGTGGAATGTTCCAGATAATTTCTGAATTTGTCAAATGATCATCATCTCATCTATTCTATTTATACAGTGAATAATTTTCATTGTTCTTAAAAACACAACACATTTAATAATATTTCTATGACTTTTACAATAAATTTCATAGGCTGTGTAACATAATCTGTACCAATAAAATATGCAGTAAATAAAGTTTGGATTAGCAAGAGTGCACTGTTTTTAAAAGAAAGCAAAACATTTTGAAGCTAAATGGCATTAAGGTTATTTACTGTCATTAAATTTTACTCTGTTTAAATGATTATTCATTAAATGGCAGTAGAAAATAAAACAGTTATTGAAATATATTACTACAATTTTTTTAAATTTTCAGTTATCTAAAACGTGTACTCTAGAGTACTGATCCAGAGAAGACATTCATAATAGTCTTTTTTTCTAAAGTGAAATAGTAAATAAGAAACCTTAAAAGAATTCCAATGAGATGATACTGGGTGATCAAATGAAAAGAGAACTTGCAACAAATTGCATGAGGACTTTGGTTTTCTACTGTCCAGTTTATGCAAATAAGAAATATGTCATAGTAAACAAGTGTTCAAGACTTGACTCAAAGAATAACATTTGAAACTCTAAATAAATCATGGACAAGTTTGACAACTCTTACTTTATAAGGCCAAAGTTTGATTTTTTTTTCCTATAATTATATTGATATGAAAAGACTTATACAATAGTCTCAACAGATTTATCAAATTTGCTTCATGTTTGATGTGTTTTGATATGTTTTCTCGGATAATTTTTTTTCTCTATATGCAAACATCAGACTACCATTGGTAGTCTGAGTAAACAAGGTTAATGTTTACAACTGTCTTAATATAAAATTAAGATAGCTGTAAATACAAACCTTTGTAGACACAGGTGATAGGATATTTTCACAATACCAAAAATTATAACTTATTTTTTGTGTGCACGCGCATCTGTGTAACTTTTCACTACAAAAATTCTCAGTTCTGAAGAGTAAGGCATTTCCCAATTATCACAAAGTACTTTAAATATTTAAATAGTATACACTTTAGAGTTTGCAAGATGATGCTTTCCAGACATTGTGAACTCTGTTATCAAACTCCTTATGCTACTTTTTGCAAATTTTTTTCATTTGATCACTTGATATTTTGAATCAAATTAAGTTATTCAAAGTAGAAAATTAAAAACAAGTTTTTTTAAAACTATAATTATGATATCTTGAGAGAGTCAATAATTTAATGTTATAATTGATGAATCTGAAAACAAAATGTGTGAAAATAGCATACACATGCGATTACACGTATTTTGTCCATCATTTAATTATTTTTGAATAATTTTAAAACTATTTTAAATAAATTGTTTAATTTTGAATCAGGTGATGTTTGAACGTTATCAGTTTGCTGGTGTATACATATCTATTCAAGCAATTCTTACATTATATGCACAAGGTATTTATTAAACTCTGAATTTACTTAATATACCTTAGTATATATGTATAATTATAAACTTATTAAAACATTTTGGAAAAATATGAAGTGCATTATTTGAAAGAATAAAAGTTAATTTTATGAAAATTATGATGAAATTTCTTTATTCTGAGCATCTTAAATGATGCTTATTAACCTCTAAGAAGAACTGAATGAAATATAATTTGAATATTTGTATTAATTATATATATAGTAATATAAAAATATTTAAAGAACCATTTAATTTTAGGAATAATAACTGGTGTGGTAGTCGATTCAGGAGATGGAGTGACTCACATATATCCTATCTATGAGGGATTTACTATGCCTCATCTTGTAAAAAGATTAGATATTGCTGGCAGAGATATTACTAAATATTTAATAAAGGTACATATTAATTGTTATTATTAATAAGAGTTTATTTTAAATAGTAATAATCCAAGAATGCAATTTTTGTCATACTATAGTTATTGTTGGCACGAGGATATGCATTTAATCATAGTGCAGATTTTGAAACTGTTCGTATGATGAAAGAGAAACTGTGTTATATTAGTTATAATGTGGAACAAGAACAAAAATTAGCTACAGAAACTACTTTTCTTGTAAAAAATTATGTGGTTAGTATTTTAATAATGTTTTTTTTGTTTATTTTAACATTTATATAAGGTATAATTTGGTATGAATTACAAAGCTTCCAGACGGTCGTACAATAAAAGTTGGCGGGGAGAGGTTCGAAGCACCCGAGGCCCTCTTTCAACCCCATTTGATAAATATAGAAGGACAAGGCCTTGCGGAACTATTATTCAGCACAATACAATCTGCAGATTTAGACATTAGATCGGAACTATACAAACATATAGTTCTTTCTGGAGGAAGTACAATGTATCCAGGTCTTCCAAGTCGACTGGAGAGAGAATTGAAACAGTTGTATCTTCAGAACGTACTGAAAGGAGACATCGAGAAACTAGCAGTGAGTTGAAATAATTAAATTAAATATAATAAATTATAATTACTGCAATAATTTGTGTTCTTATTAGAAATTTAGGCTAAGAATAGAGGATCCTCCAAGAAGAAAAGATATGGTATTTATTGGGGGATCGGTATTGGCAGAATCGGCCAAAGACAGAGATAGTTTCTGGATGTCCAAAGAAGAATATGAAGAGAAGGGATTTAAAGTGTTAGATAAACTGGGGCTCTCGGGTGTCAATCGTACATTTTAACCTTCTAACACTTAAAATAATTCTAGTCTTTTCATCTCTATATTTTTAAAATATTCAAATTTCTTCAATCAATTTTTATGAAATTGTTAGTTGTCAATTTTTGTATTTTCAGAAGAAATTTATAATACATAATATTTTGAACTATGTGATATTATTTATACCTGAAATGAAACCAAAGAATTTTGATGCTAAAAGTTGTTGTATTATCACTGTTAATAAGTGCCATATTTAATGGATATTAACATTCCAAAATGTAAAATATTTTGTATTTTTCACATTAAACATTCCTTTTGTTGATTTACTATCTTTATTTTAAATCTTTTTACAAAATAGAATACAATAAAGTACCTTAACATTAAAAGTTTACAAGGTGTTTGAAAAGTTCCAGGAAGAGATTGTGTATAGTTTTTAAATTTTATATTACATGCCTAGCATGTGAATGGACAAAACTAATCATAGACTGTCACATGCACACTTGCCAGTTATATATTATTTTTGAATAAGTTTTTCTAGTTGATTGTTCGTGTTCGGAGTATAGTTTATCACGAAAGCAAATATATTAAATTGGGAAAATTGCGAAGATAAAAAATAATAGTTTTCAGAGGAAACTCAAATCTTTAAGTTCAGGACTTAACCGAAAGTTATTGTACCTGTACACTACTGCACAAAATAAAAAACAATTTACAAATCAATGATTATTACTATATAGTTTGGAAAATTCAAATTAAATCATACAAATAAATAAATTACTGTATAATTTATTGTGCAAAGCTAATGAAAGAATATAATTGTTTTACTCAAGATAAAATATACGAACTATGTAATACTTTTATCAAACACTGGCTGTTGAATGGATGAAGGATAGAATATTTTCATTAAAATAACGTATGAAATGAAACAGGTAATAATTTGTCTTTAAATGGCAATTAAAATGATGGTAGTTATAATGACATTACTGACGATACTAGCGTAAAATTCAGTGTAAATTTATTTGATCTTTTGGCACAAATTTAAGTCAGAATTTAGATTTGGTTTGGTGGGAAACGGCAAAACATTTGGGAAATTGCCAAAGGAATGGATGCATCTGAGAGGATTATGGGGAAACTTGGCTTCTAGGTGTTTACAAACACGAAGAAAACCTGGAAAATTCCATCTGACCAGCCCGTTAGAAACGTGCGAATCAGACTTGACCAAAGTCCGGTGATTTTATGGAAGTAGCCCTACCACTGGGAGACATGGGTCGGAAAAAACCAGAAATTTTTCGGGGTGTGATTCGGCCCATTCCTCATCCCATGCCCGCCGAACCTATAATGAAGCCCATTATAGATTTGGTCAGACTCTCATTGGGGCGGCCGGATGATGAGGAACGGAATCCAATATATTCGAGATGGACAAACTCCGAAAAATTCAATTTTCTACATGCCTGGATTAATTTCGGAGACATTTATTCTGAGAAGAAAAAGTGGGGTGTGGCTGTGTCGGGACACAGCCGCGTGTTTTACGTGAATACGTGTACGTTTAGGCCGAGACTCCACTAACGTAAAAATGGGCATAAAAACCTTCGTTGTAAAATCTTTTAATCCCGTGACCTATTTGCGTTTGCGTCTGGATTGCGATGGAGACTAGCGAAGTTTTTACGGCGACGGTACTATCGAAGTTACGGTTGTATACGTGATATATCGATATAAAGACAATGATTATATTCAATGAGTTTTTACTGTACTATAATTACAAATGTAGTAAAAATAATATATTTACTTTCATATATTAACTTTTATTATAGTATTATTAAGATAATATAGAACACGTATAAGCTTAGCTTTTTTATTATATACTCCTTTAAAGTGAAGGATTTTCCTTTGGCCGTCCATATCGCGTGTTTTAGGCATCCATTATTATAATCGGGATACCTCTGTAGATACACGAATAGTACCTGATGTTTTCGATAAATCTTTCCAGATCTATTCTAGAATAGCCTCGAGGGAACATAAACAAAAGCTAAGCTTTCCGTCTTTTTCGCACTGTGTCACAATGACCTAGATTTCACTGACTTCTGATAAGTGGATGGTACCGTTTTACGGCCGTAATGATATCGAAAGTTGAACACTGCTCAACTCGCTTTTACGCTGGTTTTACGACCAGCTAAGGCGTAAAATATCAGAGTCACGTGATTAAAAGCTTTTACGGCGAGGGGTTTTACGCCGTTTTTATTGTAGTGGAGTCTCGGTCTAACGGTTAATATTTTTACGTTCCCAGCACCGCTTCACTCTATCATATGTTGTTTTGTGTGTATCACTGGATTGCTATTGAGAAGGCCTTTCCAACCGTATACGATTTATATATTTTGATTTGTCTTTTCGACGAGTATAGTCCGACATTCTTAATTTTTAACTTTAACACCATATATATCCACACTAATGTTTTTGTACGCAATCGATAAATATTGACGAGAACTGTAAATTGAAACTCAAACGAGCGTCGTAGCTTCTCCGAGTCAAAATGTATACTAAACGGAAAGTATGTGACGCGGCGAAACGACCTCAAAATGGCGGCGCTTCCCCCTCCGCCGCGCGCGATGCGTCACAGTCCCCACTCAACGTAATGAATTCTTTGATCCTTTAACTATCGAGTGGTGCATTTAAATTTTGGATGTAGGTTATAGATATGTAACTGCAATGCCAAACTGTATCCCCCGATTTTGTTATAATCAGTTTTCTGAATTGCTTCCCACTACGGAAGCAAATTTAAAGACGTATTGTTAGGATTAATCATATTTTTGTAGGCCGCGCTTAAGTCAAGCGCCACCTGTGTTTTTTTTGTATAAAAATCCAAGTCGGATATGCGCAAGCAATAAANAAGATAATCAAGGGTAAAAAGCATATTGAGATACAGAGAAAATTTATTCAGCAGCATATTGGCATGACTGTCGAACTGCAACATATTAAAAGTGCCGATCAGCTTGCTAACATACTAACAAAACCTTTGAATCGTGTAATATTCGAAAAGTTACGCTGTAATATGATTAAGGAGGAGTGTTAGGATTAATCATATTTTTGTAGGCCGCGCTTAAGTCAAGCGCCACCTGTGTTTTTTTTGTATAAAAATCCAAGTCGGATATGCGCAAGCAATAAAACGTTCTCGTTGATTAATCCCGCCATTTTTTCTTGATTCATTCACGGATACACGAAAGTACAACACGTATTCACCTCAAAACAGAAGGAAACTTTTCACAAAATTGAAAAATTGGTCCACTTCCGTGAAGTCTAATGAATTTCTTCCGACTTCCTCCTCGGTGGGACAATATCACATTATCCACGTTTCGACGACATCGTTCAAGAAACAATTTTCTGAAGTGAATTTGAAAGACAATAAAACAGTTCCACGAGAAACATCGTCTCTCAAATCAGCCGAAACACTTCCAAATGTCCCCTATTCCTTCCTCGGATTATCTAGGAGGACCTCACACAAAGGAATTCGAGAAAGAATTTGGCGGCTCATGCTATGGCAACTGGACTAGGGAATCCGTCTACTGCAAATTATTTCAGTAAACTCGTGGATTCCACAAATATCGAAAAAGCTCGAACCCACAACGAACAGTTGAAACGTCTCCAAAGACAAATGAAAAAATATTAAATTGTTCTTGTTCTGTTTTTTCTCGGAAATGATCCTGGTTCGAATATGATCCCCGTGATTAGTAGTGGATATACTGTTTGAGGTTTATAATATAATCATATTATATTATGTGAGAACCCGGGCTGTAACTTCGACGATCTTAATCTTACTTAACTTTTGTTTAAACATAAAGAAAATTATTTAAGCCTAAATTTAGAAATTCAACAGAAAATTTACCCACCAATAACACTTCATTCCAATCAAAACTACCCATCGAACAAAGTCTGACAAAAATCGGAGATTGAACCAACAACCTTGCATAACCTTATTACATTTGGCCATTAGAAAAGCTGGGGGAAATAACCCCAAATACAAATAGAGGGGAAAGAAGGTGGAGCAAAATTGCCTACCCGTTCTGAAGAGTCATCATCCCGCCGATCTGTATTTTCCGCAATTTTTACCGGACTTTGGCCACACCGAACTAATTCGTGCTTTTAACTATTGCGTACTTTTTTACGACTTTGGCCACACCGAACTAATTCGTACTTTTTTTCGAACTAATTCGTACCGAACTATTGCGTACTTTTTTACGACTTTGGCCACACCGAACTAATTCGTTGCTTTTAACTATTGCGTACCTAACTATTGCGTACTTTTGGGATTCAACACTCATCATATCCAAGCCTTCCCCTCTTCTGGACGTCCAATCGAAAATTACAGATCCATGTATTTATCGACCCGTGTACTCGTATAGAGAAATACACGGGTCCCTCCGGACCGCCCTACAGCGCTCCAGAACTCCTTCTGTTGTCGTCGCCGGTGTGTATAGAGTCTTGTCCAGGCTTTGACCCACCTCTGTCCCTCCGGACCGCCTTACAGCGCTCCGGAACTCCTTCTGTTGTCGTCGCCGGTGTGATCCACCTCTGTCCCTCCGGACCGCCTTACAGCGCTCCGGAACTCCTTCTGTTGTCGTCGCCGGTGTGATCCACCTCTGTCCCTCCGGACCGCCTTACAGCGCTCCGGAACTCCTTCTGTTGTCGTCGCCGGTGTGTATAGAGTCTTGTCCAGGCTTTGACCCACCTCTGTCCCTCCGGACCGCCCTACAGCCCTCCGGAACTCCTTCTGTTGTCGTCGTTGGTGTTTATAAAGTCTGATCCGGCACTCGGAATTTTTTTTTCATTGTTCGGTGTATGTTAGTTTTTCGATTGTTTATATTGATTAATTATGTATTTTTTATACATTTTAGAATTACATTGGTTAAATTTTAGTGTTATGTTATATTTTTTAGATTGGTAATTATTTTTATTTGTGTTTTTATCCTGTATATATGATTAAATTTGTTTTTGTATTTGTGGCCCTTTTTTTTCAAAATTATATTTTTACATGACAGCACTTGGCTATGATGCTGCCCACGAAAAATTTATAATTATATTTGTGATAAAATATCAAAATTAATTATATTTTTTATTTTAAATAGTACAATATATATTATATTATGGATAGTAAGAGAATAATTACATATCGTATTGTTTAATTCTTAAATTATGTATACTAAATATAAGATGGAAAACTGAATAACACTTACCTGAGATCATGTTAATGTCTTTCTATAATATTAAGTTATTTTAATGCTCAGGATAATATGTAAAGTGGAGACAACAAATCTACGAAATGAACCCGAAATCTCCAGTCTACCAACCGAATAAAAGGGATTTTGCCGGTTGAATTTATCTCAATTATTTGTAAAATTGTAACTGGATTAATTAGGCGATTAAGTGCCATAATATTCCCAAACGAAAAACGAGAAAACTCTAAAAGTACCCCCCAAAAGATAACTTTCGGTAAGTATATGGAATTACTGTCCTACTTAATGGATTATACCCGTCAGTATAACTATAACTTCTAGTTGTCAGATTATTCTATTAGACTAATACGAATCTTCTATCTACTATGGCATGTTCATTGGACAGAGAGGACTCTAGAATATTGTCTCTCACCCGAATAGCGAAATGCTGTACAATAATAAACTTATAGACTAGGCAATAAAGATTCTAACTTTTATATATCATTTTTTACTGCATCAATGTATCATAAGATAGTAGAATGAAAATTGAAACGCCTTACCGGTCTGTTGTTTTGCTGCTTGTTAATTGTTTTGAGCACAAGAAGTTTCCAAAATGTTTCGACGTCTCTTTGGAAAATGGATTACAACATTTGAGAATGATACTTCTTCCTAGAGTAATTTAAGTGTTTAATTAATTAGAAAAGATCCAGATGATTAATTCATTAATTAAACATTAAAATTTTCTAATACAGCGCATTTATTGTCTTTTAAAAAGACAATATCCAAGCGAATATTATTTGTAATCTGATAAATTAATTTAATTCGATGCCAAATGGAACAACCTTCTAAAATATCGCTAAGAAATTTGTAAGAAATAAAATTATAAAAACGTATTCCGTATTTTTACAGGCAGCAAATCTAGGTTTAAAGAAGCGTATCTAATTTAAATTAAGGTATTTAATTTTCATAAATTATTAATCAAAAAATATTAAGTTACCTACGTTATGCAAGCTTTGGTTATTAAAATTCGTACGAAAAATGTCAAAATGGAGGGAAAAAGAACTCGCAATTTCCGGAAAGCATAAATTTCCAAGATGGCGTCGGCAACAATACGAAATGGAACGAATTCGAATTTGTCGTTGCAATGCGTCACGCGTTACGTCACGAGTTCTACGTCATAGATGTAATATTTCGAGTATTTTAATTAAATTTTCTAAAGGAAAGTTTCTTTCGACAAATTTTTTTCTCGGATTTGGCAAAATATTTTGTTGAATGTAAAACTTTGCTACAAAGAAATTTATTCAGATAAACGTAATAAAAACACTTAGATGGCACACAATAAAAATAATTTCTAATAAAATGCGTGTTAGTATTTATTTTCTCGATTCTAATGTGCATCTTTTTTAGATATTTTTTTTTTATCTTAGGGTGCGCATTATAAGCAAGCACAAAGTCGACTTAAATTCTGCCTCCTTGGCTGTTTGTTCCTCACTCCGCTCGGCAATTCGCGTACATTACGTCGTTATAAACCCTCCCACTAATCCAGTTTTATTTTGAAGCTGTTTGATGGTCTTTTAATAATCCTTTAATCTCTTGCAATATAACAACTTCTATATCATCATCATTTGCATGGCAGAAAAAGGCAAACGATGCACTTGTCCCTCCCTGGGATAGAGTAAGAAATTTCACAAATTATTATCATAAAAGTAATTGAGATATGTAACGTGGACTGTTGGATGTTTTGATGCAATCAATATCGTATTTTATTGTACTGTACTGTCTAAATCGATTGTGTCGCTATCTGGACTCACCTGTTATCCGCCGATCAACATTCGAGAGAGTCGGCCCTCCAAATAGTAAATTTTTATCAATTGCTTCGCGTGAGAGGAGTTTCAGCAAACTAAAATTAATTAAAAATTACATGCGGGCAACAATGACCCAAATGAGATTTAACAATCTTAACATATTAGCAATAGAACACGAGTCAACACAAAATATAAATTTTGAAGATGTGATTTCCGAGTTTGCAACTGTTAAAGCTAGAAAGAAGAGCTTTTAAGTGTTGATACATAATATGTATATGAGAGTATATTAATTCTAATCTCATTCTTCTTTTGCCATATACAACTTTCACTTTCATACATCAACGTGAAAGAATGTTTAAATAATCGTGAACTTCTTGTGTTGATATTTATAACAAATAATGACTTCATAAAATTTGTACTCCGCAAAAAATGTGAAATGTCTTTTTTTCAAATGTAAAAAAGTTGCACTGTTTGCAGGTTGATTATTCTAATAAATATCGATATCTTCGTTAAACTATAACATGCTAAAATTTATTCATAACTTTCATATCATTGATAAATTTTGAAAATAACTTTGATACCGCTATGAAAGTACAGTAATACCTCGTTGACTTCGGTTATCGTCGGTTTTGGTTTTCGTCGATTTTTTTCCACGAAAAATTTGTCTCGGTTTTCGGCGGTTGCCTCGGATTTTGTCAGCGTGCTCGTGTGACCTCGCTGTTAATTTTGCAAAAACAAAGGGTGACGTTTTCCTGCTCAGTGTGGCGTTGTTTCTCGTTATGCGAGCATTACCCCGCGCGTCTAGCCAAACAATTCCATTGGTTTTCTTTCCTTTTAGCTCTAGCATGGAACGAAAGAAAGTTTTCAGAGCCAGCAGCCATTCGAACAGTGGTGTAGCGAGGGGGCAAGGGTATAATGTATAATGTCCTGTTGTATAATGTCCCTGGCGCCATTCGCAGAGGGGCGCCCAAATGGTCTCCAAGACAAACTACAGTGGAACCTCAGTATACGTCTGTTTTAGAATACGTCCAATTCGGAATACGTCCTGTTTGGACGAAACAAATTTTGCTCGGTATACGACTTTTGTTTGGTATACGACTTAATTCAATTATACGCGCCATCTATGAACAAGTAGCACTACCGGTGTACTACACTAGACTAGACGTTCGCGGTGCTACGGTTTATAACTTTCTTGAATTTCTTCTGATTTTAATTTGTAAGTAACATTTTATTATTTTTATTAATCATGAATTGCAAAAGGGCAACAGAAAAATAAAAAAATGACTAGAATCACAACGGAACTGAAAAAAAGAGATTGTTGAGAAATGTGAAGGTGGCACGCGTGTTCGAGATTTAACGAGATTTAACTGTTGCATTCCAAGGACTTTAAACTAGACCCACCGGTGGCCGAGTGGACTCCGTCTCCACTTGTTAGTGGTGACCAGACCCTAAACACCGGAGTTCGATCGGGGGTTCGCGCCTCACTCGGACGAGCTAGCAGCGGGAGTTTTTTCCGGGTTTTCCTCCTTGCCACTGACTCCTGAATAGGGGCCAGCTTTCCCTCCCAGTCCTCCCGGAAGGTATTCTGTCTCCCTTTCTCGCGAGGGTCGTCTCTTATAAGACCGGCTTTGGTTACTTAGTGACCTCTATCCTGTCTTCCTCGGATTGGTCGTCTTCTATAAGACCGACTGTTTCTTCCGGAGTGAAAAGCGCATAGCTATAACACTCCTCTGTGAGATGTGACTTTAAACTGCCAGATCCCGTATATTTGTTAGCGTGACCTTGGATCTATGTGACGTCACAGCAAGCCCTTTACTTCAACATGACAGATCTTTCAAATAACAAAATACGATAAAATATTAAATCATTTCTTAATTAATTATTAAATTACTACTAAATGTAAACTACNTATGAATTTTTTGACGACATTTTTTGCATGCAAGTGCATCACTTGTTTCCTTTAAACACACACAACAGGTATCAGAAACGGAAATCTCTTCAGTAAGCATGTCTTCATCGTGTTGGTTTACTCCACTAACGACTACAATCTCATCTTGCATAATCTGATTAGTTTCACCTTTTTCCATTGTTTTGACGCTTTCTATTACTTTTTCTAGCTGCTCCTTTGTATTTATGTCTTTTAATTCTGGTAGAAAAAAAATCCCTACTTTAGGTTTGCAGCCAAAAAGAGCTTCGTATGGTGTTCTTTTGAACCCAGAATGATAAGCTCTATTTTTCATAAATTGAACGAAACGTAGTCCTTCACTCCAGCGGTCAGATTTGTTGTCCTGCATCCAAGTACAGAGCATATTTTCGATATCTTGATTAGCTCTTTCGACACTACCCTGGCTTTGTGAATGGCGAGGCTTCCCATGGACGATCTT